TAATCATTGAATCAATTGATTTAAAAATTTGATATATTGTCAATTATATTATGGATAGTGGTTATATTGAAGATGATATTGCTATAACATTTAATGTTATAGTAGGAGATATAACTATTAGAAAAACTGGTTTGAATTATAGGATACCCTATACTACTTTTTAATGCTATATAAAAGGTTACCTTTTTTATCAAAAAGGTGCTCAAAATATACAAAAGATAGCCCCGATATAGGAGAAAGCATTAGTTGAATGGATATTAGTTCAAAAGGCTTTGGGCACTAGTCCTATATATTAATAGATACGAGAAATTGGCGAAACCCTCCTCGACGTGAAAGGAAATGAGCCTATACTTGGAAAACGATGGATACACAACTTCCTACTTAGAAACCCTGAAATTCAAATCAAAAGACAAATTAGAATCAATAATCAATATGTTTTAGGTGCTATTATTGAAATTATTAGTAAATTCTTCGAAAAATTGAATTTGCTGGTTATTATTTATATTAAGCCGGAAAACAGATGGAATATGAATGAAGCTAGTATTATAGAAGATTAGGGCTTGAATGGTATAGTACTTGGGAGTGCTGAGAGATACTTTATTCAAAAGAAACAGTTTGGCATAAAAAGTTAGATCTTTTTTATTGAGTGTATTTTTGTTACAGGAAAAGTATTATTATTTTTTGTTATATATAAGAATAAAAGTATTTAATAATAATGGTTCTCTACTGAGCTTGATATATATAAGGATTGGAAATTCCATATTACAGAAAATAGATGAACTACTAATGAAACAGATCTAGCATGATTAAAAGAGGTCTTTATTTCTCAAACCGCCCCTTTTGACCTAAAAGAGGCTAGATTGCTTGTTTTGAACGGGTATAGAAGCCACGAAATTATTCAATTTATACTTGAATGCTTTAAGAACAATATATACCTCTTATTCCTTCCTCTATATACATCATATATATTACAACCTCTTGATTTATCGATATTCTCTTTTCTAAAATGTGAATATTAGTATAAGCTCAATAAATTAGGTTCACTATTTGATTCTACACCTATAAGCAAGAGGAATTTTCTTATATATTATTAAAAAGCAAGATTAAAGAGTTTAACTCTAATTAATATCACTTTAGGATAAAAAGCTTCAGGTTTATAGCCTCAAAACCATACTAAGCCTCTTTTGTTCAGATTATTACTTGAAAATAGTAATAAAGAAGTTCAAAGCTTGAATTCGATTTCAGATAATGATTTCATATTTCAATAAAATATAAATTCATTTTTAATTCAATAAGAAATACTATAAAAAGCAAATAATCTACAAAAATATATATTAATATTAGAATCTGAAAAAGAAACAGACTTATACGCTTATCGATTACTCTTTCAAAAGATTCAAAAAGCATTTGATATTAAGGATTATGAAATTATAAAGTCTAAGCATCGAATAAAGGAATTAAAACACGAATTAGAATATATTATACTTAAAAAAAAAAAGGAAGATTAACATTAGCTCAAATTCGAAGTTTTCTGGGATTAAGGTTATATACCAGGCTTAAATCGAAGCTGATGATCGTGAAATTGATAGAGTGAACTCCAATAGTATATATGAAACTGATACTACAGAAGATTGTATTATAATTGAATAATTGTTGAATTATTAAAGTTTAAAAATTGTATATATATATTTTATAAGGTGGTCGAAAAGAGGGGTGGCCGAAAAGTGGGGTACTGAACTTACGTGTGGAAGCTAACTTCGCATTTCATTGCTCGAATGAGATATTGATGCGAGGGATTATGTTTCACACAGATACCCTGAGTTCCTTCGATGTGTTTGGTATAGAGATTGGAGATATTGGAGATAGATGGGGAGTTCTGAGATAGGTTTTCTTATTCCGGTACGTATATATCCATTTCGTATTCTATTTCTTACATATCCTCTAAATCCGAGTGTGGAAGAACATACTGTTCAATCCATCCTGACAATATCACAAAGAACTAGCCATCAAATTTATGATGAAACAAGTAGCGTCAAGTAGCCCCGTGGTGGTCTCTATCATTCCTATCTTCCATGAAGAATGAATACATAGAGAGGAATTCGTGACTTCTTCCGAGATTGGGATTTTACTCACCTGTTATATCACACATCATCTCACAACTACCCAACCTGTCGAGTGAGTGAGAGAAAATGCACTTTACAATCGCAGATGGAAGATATTAGAAGGGAAATCTATGAAGAAACCAGTCACCACAAGAAATTCCATTATAATCTCTCATCCTTTCTTCGACGAAGTAGGAATAAGATAGAGATGGGGATAAGTGGCAATATCTGAGATTATCAACACATTTTCATTTTCATGTTTATTCATCCCCTATCACGCGAGTGTGAAAGAATACACCATCACACACTTTCACAGCGCGCCACCCAAGAAACATCTTTCTGAAATCTATCACGAAAACAAGTCACTTTAAGAAAGTTAGATTTATCTCACTTTACTAGATACTCTAAATAGAGGCTTAGAGAGGGGGATGAGTGACATATCCTGAGATTTTTCTTTTCCATGTTCATACATCCCCTCAAGTGCGAGTGTGAAATAATACACTATCGCACACCTATCAGCAGCAAGTCAGACACGTCCAAATATGAGTACAGAATCTATGATGAAAACAGGTCACTTTTATGAAAGTTGGGTTTATCTCTCTTCACGAGATGCTTTGAGGAGGGGCTTAGAGAGAAGCGGGGGGGGGGGGGGGGGGGGGGGGGTGAGTGACTGGTCCTGAGATTCTTTGTCTTTTCTATTTGCTAGAAGGGATATGTTGTTGCTTGCCTGATTTCTTTAGTGACATCTCTGGTTCAATTTTAGAATGGAGATTGGTTCTTCTTTAAGAGGACTTGCTTTACACTAAATGAGTCCTCTTATAGTAAAGACTCGGGATCAGAGAAAATCTGGCTTTTATTGAGATTATGCTCGCGATACGTTGTTCGAGTTACTTATTCGTTATCATTTCGTCTTTACTGACTAAATAGTATGATTGAACCAACTTTACTCTTAAGTGCGAATGATACAAACATAATGCCGTATCATTCGAAAAATCCCCTTTGGATTCAAAAGTCTTGAGAAGAATATCATAATATCGACGATGACATCAGATCACTTGACAAAAATATATTATCCATACTCGAAACTTATATCTTCATCACGAAATTAGATACTGGGAAAAACCAAGATACAAGTGGTGTGTTTTTTCAGGTATACTTTCTTCCTTCCTTCAATGATAAACCTGTTTCTCACATAGTATATTCAAGATAGCAGAGGTATCTGCGAATGAACTCCGTATAATTCATCCATTTCCGAGTATGTGATATGAGCGACGCATACTCTTTCACAACAGAAACTTGAAGAACATTTCAATTATAGAAACATGTCATGCCAAGAACATCTCTATGGCATTATACCATAAGGTGAGATGTGAAAATGCCAGAGAGTTCGTAAGGGAACCGAACTCCTCGGAGAAATATAACTTCTGCAGAGGTGTTTTTATCGTTTTTGTTTGCATCCTATTTCTCGCGATTCTACACCAACGACATGGTGGAAACTGCCTAACTTCTACATTGTTGGAGCTTAGGAGTCGATGTGAGTGTGTTTTAAGAGTATTTCTGTGATATACAGCTTGATGAGGTGTCACTGATGCAAATCAGGTACTTTGAGATTCTAATTCATCTCTATGTCTGATTCAAAGTGGATAGTTATCGAAATCAGAGGAAATTTCTTAACTGTAGAATGGAAAGGGTCGAAGATATACTCGAGTACGAGGTATACATATTGATAATAATATGTCCTAACGAACTTCAACGAAAAAATGAGGCATACAATTGAATGATCAAATCGAGACGAAAAAATATGGTTCTTATCTACGTATATAATATACTCTTAACGTCAAGATAATATTATCTACCAAGATTGAATCCTAAAATAGATACCTACAATCCGAAAGCCCTAACTTCATAGTATGAACAAGGCATCATAGCACAGGTATACCCTATCAACTCTCCAAGCCCATCATCCTCAATTCCAACCAATCCCCTCTCCTACCCAGTACCATCCCAAAGCAGTAAGATCCAGGGGACCTCATAATCAATACAACCAGCTCAATCAGAATCCACAAAATCCCTACAAAAATACATCCACATATTGCGTGTTGCGCATTGGAAGTACAAAAACATGGATATGATCGTACGCTCGGATTCTCTGTGCTCACCTGGCGGCTTCGTATTCAGGGTTGAAGTTTCTCTTCGTGTGAGGTACTACAGCATGGAGCTATGTCTGAGCTACCTAGGTTCTTATATGGGGTTTGGTCTTGTCATACCTGGATGAGATTAGAAGAATTGGGATACGGATGAGGAATATTTCTCAAAAATGTAATCTTACTAGTTTCCCTCTCATCAAGACAAATTGAACAGCATCCACCACCATCACCAAAATTCATCATGATTACCCACCCTCCTATCATCCAACCCCAAACCCCCAAAACTCCACCATAAACCCCACTATCGATCAGCCCAAGCGATCACTAAACACCCCCGAACCCAAATAAAGTTAAAGTTTCAATCAAGCCCCAAGCCCCAGCCGTCGACCTCCCGCGCTGAACAAAAAGTCTCGGGCATACTTTCCATTTTCCAGCTTGCCATGCCAATTTTTTTAATCGGGATGGGAAAGTTTAAGGATAGCTGTGCTCTGTTTGAGTTGCTTGGTTTGACTTTTTTTTTCTTTCTTCTGGTTTGTGCTTGTATTTTGTAGAGTCTTTAATTTTGATATCTCATCATTCACTCTACTACACTTTGTTCTGCTCCGCGTTGTCGTTGCTGTCCGTTCGTTTTGAGGTGGTATTATTATAGTGTATCTTTATTTACGTGTGCTTTCACATATATTCACATACCTCTTACCAAAAAAATAAGACACAAAAAGAAACCAACTCATTCAACACAAATACCGATACAATGGCCCCAACCCTTCCCCTCCTCATCCTCCTCCTCACCACCCTCACCCTCGCCCAAACCTCCACAACCCCCTCCACCTCCACCTCCACCTCCAGCATCATCCCCGCCATCATCCCCAGCGCATCCTCCTACACCTATCTCGGCTGCTACAACGAAACTAGCAATACGAATACCACCGGCGGCTTACGATCTCTCAATGGAGGCGTCACGGAAGCGCTCGATGTGATGACTGTACCGCTTTGTATGGCGTTTTGTAAATCGAATGGTTATGCGTATGCGGGGATTGAGTATACGAGGTTTGTTTTTATTCCCCTGTTTCGAGTTTATTTGCTACTTACTCCCATATAAAAATCAAAATCCCAATCCGAAACACAAACACAAACAAACTAACACACCCCCAGAGAATGCTACTGCGCGCAATATCTCTCTGCCCTCGCCTCCAAAGTCGATGACTCCAAATGCGATCTTCCATGTAAAGGAAACACGAGCCAGATCTGTGGCGGGTCGTGGACGTTATCAGTGTATTTGCAGGATGGGAGTAAGAAGGGAGATGCGGGGGAGGGGAGGGGGGTGAGTGCGGGGAAACAGGCGTGGATGGCGTTGGGGGTGGCGTTTGGAGGGTTGTTGGCTTTGTGTTAGGGTGGGGTGAGGGGAGAGAGAAGGAAAAGGAATTTGGGATAGATGGGGATATGGAGTCTGGGAATTAATCGAGGATTGGAATTATAAGCGAGACGAGATCGTTAGTCGAGCGAGGAAGTTGGGGAAAATAAGTAGTCCCCCAACGCGACAATCACGTTTCGGCAAGCCAGCCCGGTTGCATTATGTGCATTTCCATAACGAGAAAGCTCAGATATGATATCAGCACTATTAATAATGCATCGCGGTGTTATGATCTGTTTATTCGGTGTATGTATGAATCGGAGATTCATAGAGTATTGAATAACACAAAAGCAAAATTATTTGACCAGGAATAGTTAACTGGGCGTGATGTGATTTCTACAATTTTCTGCGCGACCAATATGAGATTTGTGCTTTAGATGAAGCGAAACATGATGGAGGTTTCACTAGTTGTATTGTTACTTGTATCGAGAGCACATACATCGATGAATACGGCAATCTGGTTGGCAGAGATCACTTCAACGATTTACTGTATGTAGGTGCAAAAGCAAGTTCAGAGACGTTTTTGGTTGTTGGAAACGACATGTGTGGATAGCGAGAACGAATTATGAATTCATGGCTCGGTCTATGTTATGAAGTCCTGACGTAGGTTCAAGTTATAGATTTACGTCTTTTGATTCATACCGTATCGTAGTTGAGAAGGATCGCAAACTATGCATGATAACCACTGCTAATAGCTAATCATCAACATTCTACATACAAATACATATAATTAACACTCGCTGCTCTTTCACCCCATTCTATCCCATTCCATTAAAGAACTTTCACTCTAATTCCAGTCCCCGGTTTAGGAACATTAATAAGGTACTCCGACCAAATTTCCACCGCTTCCTGATTCGTTTCCCACAATTCAAATTCACATCTTCGGACAAAACTCGCAAGTGCAATATACAACTCCGCATACGCTAGATTCATCCCTAAACATTGTCTACTCCCTTTCGAGAAACTGACAAGATATTTTGTGAGTGGTTTTTCTTCTCCTGAAGGTATTGTGACTTTGGGTGGTAGGCCGGTGATTGGATCTGGGAGCCATCTCTCGGGGATGAAAGAATGAGAAGATGGGAAGATTGATTCGTTGTAATGGATAATTGGTGTAGCGCAGGATAGTGGGGTACCGGCGGGAATCGTGTAAGTGTGTCCTGTGGCTGGGTCGGTATATGGGAGGGGTTTGTGAGCAAATCGTGGCAGGTGCTGGACTGGTCCCATGGAAAGACGAATTGCTATTCACCCAATTGTGTCAGAAATTACACGTGATGTCATTGGATTTAGTGTCTACAATACCTTCTTGGCAGACTGCAATTAAATAGGGCAGTTTTTCGAGAGTTGTTAGTGAAGGTGGAGAGGAGGGATCTGGAAAGACTTCATGTGTTTCAGCTCGTAGTTTAGAGAGAAGGTCCGGTTGGTCAAGCAGATGGAACATTGCAACTGCCAACGTCCACTTTGTCGTTTCAACACCGGCACCGACTACTACTTGTGCTTCTTGATGAAGCCTCTGCTCTGTTTTCTCTTCAACAGGAAGACTGGATTCTATGATCTCGTGAAATATGGTTGACCGTGAGGTATCGTTCTTTTCCTTGGTTCCATACATCACTGCTCTCAATTCGTGTCTCAGGTCCTGTTTAAATGTCAGTATCAATATCTTCTAAGAACGATTTAACAAATCACCTCGAGCCACTCCAACACAGGCATTGATGTTTGCGGTACAATCTTCTTCAGCACGCTGTATGGTAAAGCAAGTACCAAATTCATAAACCATGCTATACTTGGAAAATGCTCTGTCCAGTGCACTATAGATAGCATACCAGCTACAGCCACCATAAAATCCGATGTGAATTCTCCTTTTTCACAAAAATTATAATTAGTACCAAAGCTACATTCCATCACCACATCTGTCGTATAACAAGAAAAAACATCTCCGAGATCAAGAATCTTGTCGGTCCCTTTGTATTCAGTATTGATACGATTTACCAAGGTGTCGACTCGGGATTGGATAAATGGAACAAATTTCTGAATGTTAGGTTTAGAGAAGAAAGGATTGAGTGCGGCACGTCGTTTTCGATGAAGGAAGTGATCTAGGGTAGATTGACCAGATAACGGAACGGTAGGAAGAGAGGAATGAAGGGGCAGTTTGTCGCGTCTATCGGTTGTGTATATTGTATCATAGAACTCAGGATCACTGATATGGAGCTCTGTAGGATTGATACGAACAATTGGGCCTTGCAATTTTTAGTATAGGACGGGCATTGGATCAAGAGACGAACCATATTTTTCATGCCATTCGGGAAGTTTTCGAAAAAACTGTCCACCTTTGACGAGCTGGTAATATATTTCATACCATTCAGTCGCAGCTGTCAACTTTGGACCAGGAAACTTAGCCAAAGGACTGAAATATAGTCTATATATGACCAAAGTGAATGTGTATATAGCAATGGCATACACACATATCAATAGATTGACTTGAGATAGCAGACCAGATAAAACAGTGAGGACTCTCATTTTAGTCAATGTAGCATGGTAAGAAAAGACGAAAAGAGGATAAGCAGAAAACCAGCTTTACCTTGAGCGCAGGGGATGAGGATATAAACAGTACTCATCTACATCCCCACAATCTTAGATCCCCTTCTAGACATATCACCAACCAATGAGAATTTGCACTAAAGCGGAAATTTTGTCAAGACAGTACATGACTTCATGCACCGCTACAAATCGAAAGATCGACATTCATATGTAACACTTTTGTCTAGTAGCAAGCTGCGTTGTTCAGCTATTGTAATCGCATTCCTACACACCCGAATTGGCCATGTACTCAATCATTCCAATGACCATCCAGTATTTGTGTGGTGCTTACCGAGCTATGCAATGGAGACCACTTTTCGATCTGCAATCATCAATCTCAATGTATCTCGAACATATTCCAGATTGTAGAAGGAAGATTCAGATGGCTGATGGTTTTAGGATTGCATTTGTGAATAAACGCCATCCCGAAATTTGTGCTTCTGTGCGTCACACAACTCGGAGGACAATTTATGTTTTGCTACACGTTCACGTGACCCTTCACAATAATCCTGTTATTTGGTTTTAGTGGAAGCGAAGGAAGCAGCTGAAGTATCACATCAATGTAGAAAGAATCACACACCTAAAACATGTCATTCAATTCTCCCATTAATATACCATTTACATACATTCATTCATTGATTTATTTTGCATGGAATCTTTCATTTCAGACTATCATACAAACTTGAAATCTAACTTAACACAGATGATCAACGGTCAATCTGCTTCAATCATTAAGGCTACCCACAGTTCCATCGCTACAAGCTGTCACAAACGAATCTGTTTTTTCAGGAGAGTCGCTGCGAAATCTGACGTGAGCCTGGTCATTCTAAACCAGTTTTCGAGGATATGCCATCGAAAGAGGAGGAAGTTGAATCAGCGGAATATGACATTAATATGATGGTTCCCAAAAACGTAAGAATGTTATTACGGAACTACCACTCGAAATAATTACTCGACTGCTATTTCATCTTGTAAAAGTTGCCGATCGAGTGCGGATTGGTAAAACTTCGAGGATTCTGTACAAACATTCTATGCCGCTGGTATGTAAGTCTTGGAGCTTTGACAAGTATAAGCACTCGGGATATTGTCTATGGTGTTTCCTTCGAACTGCTATAGAATTTCCGGAATCTGTTGCTTCAGTGAAACTATTGGATCTCCGTGAATATGAACCACTAAGACCCGATAGGAAAGGCTGGGATAGGGAGCTTCGGTCCGCCGTTCCAGCTGAACAGTTTGCGGTGTGGAGAAAGAGCCACAGAGATGATTTGGATGTCTTCAAGAATGGTAGAATACAGCCCTGGGTCTTAAGGTATTTAGATAACTGAACAAACGACCTGTCTGAGTATACTTTGGCTTTTCGCATGGGCACAGGTGCATCGCTAGTTGAATCCCATGGGTTCGAGAATTTTGCTCTGGTTGTTTTAAATCTTATAATACAGCATCTCCCCAATGTCGAAACACTTCATATTACATCAATGGATCGAGCTTATGAATTGGGTGCGCCGCCTGGACCTTCGATTTCAGCTCATTGTTTCCAAAACCTTCAAACGATATATATTTCCCGAGGTTCGTTCACATTACCAATTTCATCATTGTCAGGTTCATCAATACTTTTGAAGTTTTGGGACCTGCCAAATGTGAGATCTGTCTACACGTCATCTCTTACGAGTAACATAATGGACCAACAGAGGTGGGACAGAAGAAGTCCGGGTGTTTCACTGTCAGAGGCAGAACTAGTCCAGCATTCTGCCATTACCGACTTTTCACTTGATCGCAGTAATGTACCAGTCTCTAGGGTTTCTCGAATTGTTTCGACTTTGAAGGAGCTTATAAGATTTAGATGGACATACGCATTTCCCTTGACACTATCAAACTCTGATAGAATACTGGATTTGAGAAGCAAAAACATCCGGAAGATACTGGACCTACACAGAGGCAGTTCGAAAGAACTTGATTTACGATTTCTAGACGGCACTTCTTACGCACCTCTTCCAAGACAGGACGCGGAATCAAATGTAGAGAAACCATTATTTCTGGGTAACTTGTCAGGTTTCCAACAAATGACTTCGCTAACAATCGATCCGATTGTATTGAGTGGCCGATCGCCGAGACAACCAATTGAACACCACATAGAGGATTTGCTTCCACAATCGCTGATGTATCTAGGACTAGTATGTGAACTGCAGCAAATTAAAAAGTTTTACCCAGGGGCCTACTCTGTTCGAGAGCAGACTTGGTCAGACGAAGTTACAAGTTTTGCAAACACATTACCCGCATCGATGAGATTTCTCACGGAAGTGGAATTGATTGCGCCTAGCCGAGAGAATTCTCGGAATAGTTATACAGAACGGGATGAGATATTGGAGCCTGTCATGCGACATTTTCAGGAGAGAGGAGTCGTCTGTTCAATCACGAAAGTTCTGCCCGAGGATGGTTTTCCGGATTTCAGGACTATTTGTCAAAATGACTAGAATTGCATTTTGACAACCAGATTGTCCGATGTCCAGACTAGAATGAGAATACTCATATTGTTGGATTGATTTTGAATGTTTTTTGTTTTCATTCTGAATGAATGGTAATATTGGACACTATGCTTTTGGCCAAAGAAGATGTGATTCTAGAGATGAAACAAGAATATGGAGACAAGTTCCTATGTAGGAGCTTGAACATAGAAAAAGGCTGGTTATATCATTTTGGAAATCCTTGAAGCATCGACAACGGTACTGAGGATCTAACTGTGAGAGACTAGCACTGGTTGGTATTCTCTTAGAGGATGTATTAATTCAAGTGTTATTAGATAATTAGCTCTCTTCACTACAAAAATTATAATTTAACAGTAATAGTAATGGTAATAGTAAATTCATAATCGTTTCAATTTATATTTGATCTAACATAACATCATAGCTTCGGGACTTTATTCCCTGAATCCTGTCCCAGAACTTCTTATTCAAAGCCTGAAGATGTCAATCCAAGACCCTGATAGCTAGCTTTCGTGTCAATACCTACCCATTAGACGAGCAGTCATCGACTAATAGTGGGCTCTTCAAGCGGCCGACTAGTTCCTCTAATCTTCTGTCTTACAAGTTGTATTAAACGTCAGCGGTGGTCGGTCCACATCCCGGAACTGCATTTCAACGCTTCTATTGTGACATTGTGGCTTACTATCCACGCACCTATATGTTGGACACTTATTCTCACATCCACTGCCACATAGAGGAGCGAACTGATAAATTTGAACAAACTGGATATCCATGTACATGATAATGTCTATCAGGACCACCGCATCTGAGCTCAAGGGTATATACATATATGCACAAGCTATTCATAAAAGTCCACTTCTACACGAGTAGACCTTCCTATTCCTTCACACCCCAACTACCCACAATCGCCATAGCTTTCTCATCACCATTCTCCACTCTTCCATCATCTAGTACACCCGCCAAGCATTTCCAAGGATCTCTTCCTCCACCCCACTTCAAAACTTCTTCTTTCATCTTCTCGCCGTTATCTCTGTGGATGCTGCCACCGGCTTCTCCATCTTTGAATACCACTTGCCAGATCCTTCTTGCGAGAACTCGGTCGAAGAGATAACTGTAGTACGTACTACCGTATCCGAAGAGATGCCCGAAAAAACCGTGCCAGCATGTTCCTGGGGGGTCAACTGGGAGAGCACCGTGTTTTTGCTGGAGAGAATGATATATTTCTGTCGAGTTGAAAGATGGAGAGAGAGGGAGGTCAGAATGATATGCTAAATCGAGCATGGAAAGGATAATCTGATTTTCGGTATCAGAGCCTTCGAAACGTTTGTCTAATGCTAGTTTTTCGGCTACCATTTCATATGGGAGTGGTTGATCGGTTTCATAATGGCGCGCGAATAAAGAAAGAACAGATGGGTCTGCTGCGAAATGTTCCATGAGGACTGAAGGCAACTCTGCGAAGTCGGTGGCACAACGAGTTCCTGAAACATTCTGGAGAGATGTTCGCCCGAGGACGGAGTGAATGGCATGGCCCATCTCGTGGAAGAGAGTTTGCACCTCGTTGAAACTGAGAAGTGCAGGGCGGGAAGACTTTCCGGACATTGTGACGAAATCACAAATGAGGGCGATGGTTGGCAATTGCTTGAGAACTCCCGAAGCTCTTGAAGTGGCCATACCATCGTTAGCAGCTTCTTCATCAGTCTTGAACAGGCTATTTTGAGAAAATGTCGAAGTTTCTTCGAGTTCAGGCGTTGTGATCTCTCGAGAACAGCGAAGGGTGAAGTGTGCGGGATTTGGGGACTTTCCAGGACGGGAAAACAGATCACAGTAAAGTACAGCAACGTGACCATCGGTTTCAGAGATTACATCTAGCCTTCGAACATCTGAGTTCCATGTCTCTCCTGGCATTGTCTCATGAGGAGCAAGTCTAACACCGTAGAGTCGTGTAAATAGCCTAGAGAGTCCTTGCATGACTGTACCAAGCGAGAAATATGCTGAAAGAAAATCGGAATTGCGAGAGTGCGAACGCACTGAAGCCAAAATTTGTGACATGTAGTAATCTTTATCCCATGGCTGTAAACCTGGAGAAGAGCCATGCGAGTTCGACAGCTTAAACTTGAGGAGCTCGGAAACTTCTCCTTTTACAATCTGATTGTTATCCTTTGCCAGTGCTTCCAAGAATTGTGATACAGATGCTGGACTTTTGGCCATTTTGTCTCCTAGAGCTAGGTGAGAATAACTTTCGTACCTAGAGAGTTTGGCCAGCTCTGCTCTTTTGCGCATAAGCTCCTCCAGTTTATATACTGTATTCCTTGAGGCTGTTCGAGTAGCCATGAATATCTCTTTTCTAACATCTTCACTCTGAACTGACCTAATAGCTGCAGCGGCAGCACCACCTATGGTTGGAATTTTAGTCTGTCCCCATGTCGTATATTGCCTCACCAGTACTGGATCCATTCCCTTCAACTTACTACTTTCAAAAGTTAAGTAAGGTTTTGCGGGTGTCATATAATCGACAAATTCGGGACCAATTTCACTGATTTGTTGCGACAGAGCTACAAACCTTTCTCGCTGGGCACGAGGTAGATCAATGGCCGACTTTGCAAAGTCTTTCCTTAAAATATCTGCGACTACGACTTCTTCCTCTGTCCATCCTGCTACAATCTCTGGTGTACCCATGGCAATCTCAAGTTGCTTATCCAGCCCAGTAGTTGTATTCAAGATGTTCATATACTCGAACATTTTTGCGTAGGCTCTTGATGCAGCTGCTTGTATAGCTGCGTTCGGATGTGTAGCTCGAACAAAATCCGACAAATCGATGACCCGGCACAGCAGGTCACTAAGACGATCTAGTTCTCTAGCAACATGTCTGTATTCCTCAACTGTCGAAGCCTTTAAAACTTTGTCCACAATTCTTTGTGCCTTTCGCAAACTCGTGTTTGCAAAAACTTCGAATCCTTGGGGGTTGACAAGGTACCGATTTTGAAAAAGTCCGACAGCCGGTCTATTGTAACTTTGTTTCGAGGATTGAGAAAATTCTGCCCAGAAATTCGGAGAGTCGAAGATCTGCCGCAAAGTCCTATCATCATGCTTTGCGCCTGGAGCAGAGTTGTCTACAGGTACAGGTCGAGATTCGCGATATTGTGTAGAAGCTGTCGCAAGTCTTCGGCGTGATTGGATTTGTCTCCTAACGCACCGAGAACAAACCCACGGCCTGGGCGTAGTAGCTTTCAACATACTCTACGGTACGTTCGTCCAAACTCTCAATGGCACGAGAGTTGGTGGTTGAAAGACGATTGCATAATAGGTAATGCGGAGAATAGCACTTGGGTACGTACCTGGGTAGCTTCATGAATTATGCACATGCGTTGAATGAGAATAATTACGTCAGCATGTTTGCATAAAAATTCATACGAACGGGACCTTGAAGTTGACGAAGCTTCAACGACCGAGGAATTCAATCCCAATACATACCAATTGTACGATCAAGTCAATTGAGCAATGGCTTCCAGAGTATTCCTGCGGCAGGTCAGTATAATCAAGTACGCAAAATTATACTTAGCTAACAATTCAAAGCGCATTGCGCCTATAGCAACTGGCGCAGCCTTAATCGGAATGGCTCTCTATCCTCAGAGACCATTACATGCCGAAGCACCAGATGTACGCAGCAGCGTTTAAACCCACTCACATCGCTGTCACTAACTATCGCATGATTTTAGGGAAGAAAACCTATCTATGATGACTTCGAGGAGCTCCCTCCCACATCCGCTCCAACTCTACCATCATCCAAATCTCCAAGCCCCGCATCGGAGGAATTATTAAAAAAACATACTGGTCCAACTCCTACCGACAGGCTCGCTGTACAAATAGGAAAGAGTCGATTATTTCTCTATGCACATGTCGTCGCTACCGAAAACAAATTGAACTCCATAATGGACTCTGCCCTTAACCTTGAATCCAGTTTTACATCCACGATTGCTTCACTTGCACCATCCCAACAATCTGGGGAGAAGTTAATGCCTGGAGCTATCTATGTTTTGGTTGCTGCTATGACTGGTTCAATTATATCACGAAACAGAAACATCGTACTGAGAGCTGCTGTTCCATTCGCAGTCGGGATTGGAGCAGGATGGGTTGTTCTTCCAGTAACGATGAGAAATGTCGCCAACTTGGCATGGGAATATGAGAGAAGATTTCCAGTGATTGCGGATACACATATTAGGACAAGGGAGAGCATAGAGAACGCATGGAGAATGGCACGGGTGCATTCAAAGCAGGCAATTTCAATAGTGGATGGCAAGGTCACCGAAGGAAGAGAAAAGGTAGAGGACTGGGTCAAGAAAGGAAAATAGAGGAGCCGATTGAGTCTGTAGGATTGTTTCGGATTTGACGAAAGCAAAAGCACTGCTGACCCTGTACAAAATCCTTAATGAAAATTTCGTTCTATTCTGCAGCCCAGATCCGTCGAGTTTTGGCTGTAATACAATTTGATCGAGACTGTCTTTTTTTTTTTGAGACATCAGGTTCCTCCGTCAATCTACTTTTCACTTTTCACGCGTGTTTTTGTGATATCACTAGTACACGATTGGGTTCAAAGTCACACATCCATGGCTTCTTTGTTCAAAGGCTGCAATGTAATACCGGAAGCAACTCCAGTGTTATGATATTATGGCTGTCAAGCTCTGATTTCGCTTTGCTTCAATCTCGCTCATCGATCAGGCGCCCTCTCGCCTTGAACGTTCAGTCTAGGTCCAAATTGACTGTCAACTATATCTTTCTACATTCCGCTCTCGGAGCTTATTAGATTCTTGCGTGATACTGGTAGAGCATCGAGGGTGGAGCTTGCTTGCAATCAAGTACGAAAACTAACTGATTCGTTTGCTGAAACGTTTTATCGTTTTCTCGATAGGAAAGAGTACAATTTCTGAGTGCTTTTCCCGCGAACAAGATCAGATTGTATCACCAATATAAGCCTCTAAAGTAGTTGATGCCATTCCACAAGATATATAAAACAATGGGAGGAAGCATGAAGAAGGGAAATATGCTATAAGCCCTCACACCTTGACAAATAACTGGATGTAATCTACAATCGGATCTGGCTGAGGAATGTTCTAGAGTGTATGGTGAAGAGAAAATCGTAGGAGAGCTTCATAGATGAGGTGTTGATACACGAACTTCTCCCTTCTCCTGAACTTTGAACCCAGCTAGCCCAGATCTATTTATTGCTATGGAGGCTCAAGGAAGGTTAGCTTATATTATATAATGCGCACACGTGACACGACCGGTACCCCGCCAAAATTATCCCCCGCCGAAGATGAGTCAAAGTATCCCCTTCTTGAGTTTTGCGTCTATTTACTTTCAACAAATTACTTTCAATAACATCACAACATGGCTTCCGACATGAGTCCAGAGGAATCAATCGCCCTGATCAAGGCAAACCTTGCCGAGGTTCTCGACGGGGATATTATCGACAATGTCATCCTCAAGGAGAAGCGTCCTCTCAAAGTTTACTGGGGAACTGCAACGACTGGCAGGCCTCATTGTGGATACTTCGTACCAATGATTAAGATAGCAGAGTTACTGAGGGCGGGCTGTAATGTTAAAGTTCTTCTCGCAGATATTCACGGTTACCTGGACAATATGAAAGCACCTCTCGAACTCGTCGAATACCGCGCCAAATACTACGAACGAGTAATCAAATCAGCTTTGAGGGCGGTTGGTGTTGATTTGAGTCGTTTGGAATTTGTGCTAGGCAGCTCTTACCAACTTGACAAGGAATATACAATGGATAGATTTAAGTTGGAAGGTATCACCAGAATTAACGTCGCTCAAAAGGCTGGTGCCGAAGTCGTCAAGCAAACGGATGATCCAACACTTGGTGGTTTAATTTACCCTCTCATGCAGGCTCTGGACGAACAATATCTCGATGTTGACGCACAATTCGGTGGTGTGGACCAAAGGAAAATCTTCACTTTCGCAAAGGAAAATCTGCCAAAGATTAATTACAAAGTCAGAGCACACTTAATGAACACAATGGTTCCTGGTCTAGGAGAAGCTGCCAAGATGAGCTCTAGTGATGCGGACTCGAAGATCGACCTGATCGATGGGCCAGAGGCTGTCGAGAAGAAATTGAAGAAAGCCAAGTGTACGCCAAAGGAAGTTGAAGGTAATGGTGTCATCGCTTTCGTCGAGCATGTTATTTTCCGCGCTCTCGCTCTGAAGAACGGAGGTACTTCAAGATTTGTTGTTGAGAGAAGAGATCAAGAGCCGTTGATCTACGAGTCTGTGGAGAAGTTGAAGGAAGATTACATAGCAGATATTGTGAGTAGACTTGTGGACAGAGTTCTTGTTGACCAGTCACTGATATCAACCCCAGCTCACCCCTCAACTTATCAAACAAAGTCTCACCGCCCACCTTAACGATATCTTAAAACCAATTAGAGAGGAATTCGAAGCATCTTCAGAATGGCAAGCAATCGAAGTACAAGCTTACCCTCCAGAACAAGGTTTGTTGCAGTCTCTTTCTCGTATAAACACTTGAGCTAACTCTGTACCAGGTCCAGTCAAGGTCAAGAAGGCAAAGAAGGAAATTGATCCAGCAAGAAAAGCCGCGGCATTAGCAGCAAGGAAAAATGTCGTTGCTCAGCCGGATGGACACGTTGAAGGAACAGATGCCCAAAAAGTTACCGTTGGATCAAGCACGGAAGAGACATCAGAGAAAATGAAGATTGCTTCGGAGTCATAAATAGAACTATAATATACCCTCGAGCGTTTGGTTGCTTCTGTAAGCAACTGTTCCTCTCATGAATTCTTCTTTGTCTTCGTTCTAATATTCGAAGCGTACTCTGTCCCCTTCTCCAATTTTTGTATGTACAGTATCCTACCGGCATGGCGTCAAGGACTCAAGAATGTGTTGCAACACGACTTGCGCTCATTACCCGGGGGTTTAGAATATCAATCTAACGAATGGTATCTGCCATTTACAAAGCTCCATGGAATTGTTGCAAATAATCAATTTGAACAGCACGATGAGGTCCACATGGCTCGAAGTTTCCTAAATCTCGAATGCTCATCGGTTTCATAGGTGCAGAAAGTCTTCTCAGCTTATGTCGTCGCACTCATGGGTGTGCATTGATCGGACCCTTTTATCCTCTTGATGGCTCTCGTTTGATTTATGATTCCATATACCTTGGTTAAATTCTTTCTGGATCTGTACTACTATACACATGTGGAATTTTAATCTTTCATGTTGTTTCTCTTCAAGATCTTGTATCTTCCTCAATTCTATCTGGTATCTTCGTCCTTATGAACTCTCCTCAGATTCAACAACCCTTTCGCTTCCATTCTTCACCTGCATCACTGATTCTAGCATAGTCGACTCGAGCCTCCGAGCCTCTCACGATTGACGACTAATACACCTAGGCCGAGGAATCCCACGTGATCGCTTGCCTTTGCTACTGTTGTTCGCCTTCCGGATTGGGCTACTTCTGCCACTTGCTTTTTCCTGAACCTTATGTGTATACAAACTCTAGATGTGGACATTCTCTGCAATTAGTCTGCACTTAAAACGATTTCGACCTCTAAGATAATTAGCCCTTTCATCCTCCGATTTTAAGACAATATGGAAAGAGAAGGCTCCTAGTGGCTCGTCCCCTCATGTAAAAGCAATGGATTGGAAGTATAGAGAGTCCGCAGCTTCAATAATTAACGGCTGATCGTAAATCAACAGTCTGTTTCAACGATGCCTGCCGAACTCTGCGTTCGACCATAGATCCCGCAGCTCTAGCCTCTTCATTGTGGCTTGTCTTGACATCTTTACAGTATGAGTATGGAATCGCTAGTCATCCATGCTGTGAGAACTCCCACCGATATTCCCCACCAAGCGAACTTTCAAATGACACTGATGCTTTTTGCTTCAAATATATGGTGAACCGATCCACGATAGCGCATCGGAATCTTTCAATAATTGGCTCGGTGAGACGAGTATGCAGCGACGTTCCGCAGTACAGAAGGATGGTCATTCAAGACTCTCGTGTGGTTGTTTCAAGAGTATAAGCTACTTTCTGGTAACCTTTATTTAACTGGTTTTTTGGTGGTTTGATCGCGCCAGGTGGTAGATCTTGCACCAAATCAAGATCTATAATCGTGTCTAAACAATGCGATGTCAATAAGATCACCTTTAAGTTGTGCTTGCCACATAGGAGCACCCACTTAAGCACCATCGTGTGAACTTAGCAGCCGTGGGTCTCTTCGAGTCTTGGAGGCATTATGGGTTTTCCAATTTTTTCAAGCAAGAACACTCCAGGGCAGTCTCGAGGTCTACGATGACGTCTAGCGGTCCAATGAATGAAGACACTGAGAACCATTGCCAGGATCAGGGCCCAAGGGATAAATCCTAGCATGATGAGATTGGAATCTATTCCTAATCCAAAACCTATGGTGGTGGCCATCAGAATGGCGGATACAAGAATAAACGACTGGCATCTATCGTGCCCCTGGCGTCGATGCGTGAACGAAGAAATCGAGTAACCTAAAAGGATACACGATGCGAGTAATGATAATGCATACGGATCCAAAACTACACCAAGACTTCCCGAATTGATGGTGTAGCTCATGGGTTTGTTACTTGGGTTTATCTGTGGTTGGATATTAGCTGTGATCTAGGTCCAGTTTTGGGGGCACGAACTCGTCCTTGCTCATGATAAAGAGTATATCTTGTGGTCACTGTTGCAGATATCATTGCAATCAATGGTTCGAGGATCGCGCCCAGTTCGCTGGCTGGATAACGTGCAGAAACGTATTCAAGGAGTGATTGTTTGTCTGTTGGTCTTATTTTCAACGCTCGACATCCTCCAAAACGATATCTAAATAAGCGGTAGAAACCTTCACTTTCGATGTCATTCAAAGCCATGATATCAGTAGCAGTTCTGATTTGAATCCCTCATAGCTTTTTGTTCGAGGACGGCTGCTTTTGAACATCTTTATCTACTAAAGACTGAAAAGCGATACCCAGGTACAAAAGTGACTGTGATCGGATCGTAGCCTTAGCAAATTAGTTGGCGCCCATCGGGCGGAGGATCTTTGCAACCTTCGAATCAAGAGTCTTGTGAAAAATATCCTGGTCATGGTGTATTTGACAAATGCGCTGACCGAAATGCCTGCAATTGGAGAGTGTTGACATTTTTCAACCATACGAGATATCCCGATTCCAAGTCATTGGGCTCCGAGGGGTGCTGTAGGCATTCAACAAGGCCGATGCCCAACCTGCAGTCATCCGAAACCGTTCACCGAATCTTGATCGTCAGCCTATCACTACGAATATGCACGATTGCCTGTAAGCGAGGCTGATTTTGCGAACCGAGACAAACCTTCAATCTCAGTTCCTTCACGCCGGACAGAACCTCTGGTTTATATGCATTCATGCCTGAAGTCAGCCTACCCCCACTCTGAGATGTTATGTCTATGGTTGAGTATTCTGATTTCGCGGGGAAATAAAAGCTTCTCCAGATCCACTCTATCTACTTACTCTTTCTTATTGTCCGATTCTCGATCTCAACTGTGTTTAAAGAATTCAACCTGATTTACATTATTGAATTTTTTCATTTATTATATATTTCGAATAACATCAAATTAATCATGGCTTCCAAATTTAATCTACCTATTGCATCGACGCAAGAGCGTAGACCCGTACGACACGATATCAATGAAGACAAAAAGTCTGAGAAGCTTAGAACGATGTACTTGTACACTATGATGTTTCTCTCGATAGCTTCTCCCATTCTTCATGAATCCTCTCTCTTTGCTTGGCTTGTGTAAGTATATCGAAATTATTATCAATTGACCATATACTAACACGGCTCTAGCAATATTCTTTGCACTGTTGCTCTCATGGTAGCTGTCGTTCGGACACATCCTGAAGAGATTAAAAAGTACTCCGTAGAGGGTCCCCCAATACAAGAATTATTTCCTGACTTTCTCTTGATAGGTTCGGCCCTGTGGTAATACCGACAGCCAGCTTGTTCTTGGTGATGATAGTGTTCACAAGTCGTGTATCGCTTTTGGAAATTATGCCTTGGATACCATTTGCCTTTTCCATATGGCTTTTGATCACCGTTCACTCTTGCCCAGCGTTGGTATCACTTGTTCGAGAAGTTCTTGAAGGATGCGGGCTGAATTTACCAAAACATGGCCATTATATCCATAACTTTACCTGGGATGTCGAGGAAGGCCAGGACCAAGCTCCAAGTTTTTGGTTCGATCAAAAGAAGCCCCTAAAACGTGTATCGCAGTCCACAATGGATCACGAGCTTGCCTTTATGGGTCGTCCTACTTCAATCATAAGCACAACGCCCAGTGATATTGATTTAGATGAAGGCAATGCGACCGCAAGGTTGGTAGGCGCCAGACTTCTGTCCCACTTCCGTGAAGATAGTCGCGAATCCATGGAATTCCTGGATAAATTGAGGCTCCACTCACAGGATAATTTTACAAATTCCCTGGACGCTTCCGATGATTCGTTGATAGGCCACTACTCAACAACCGGGTCGGAATTCAACGACCATACATAATGAACAATCCGTTTATATGCAGCAAGAGGTTAGCAAAACTTACTATGTCAACTTGTCCAGATTCTCTACTGCCGAATTCAGCCCTAAAATCCAAGAGCTGTGGATGTCCTGAGATGTATACCTTTTTTAGTTGGATCCCAAGCGGATAGAAGTCATTCCACAATTATTGGATCCACATTCTCAACATTTCTAGGATACATATGTGCAGTATTGCTTTTTTTTCTTTCGTGTTCTTGCCATGGGACCATGATAGCCTCACCTCTGGAGGTTTCGAATGTCGTTTTCATTTCCGGAATCTTATCCACAAGGACATAATAACTACCCCAATATCGGAAACCAGACCATTTTCTACCTCAGTCGCGCCCGCATCCGCGATCAATGCCAAGAAAGGAGCCACTTGTGACCAGGAATATAATCCGAGGATGTTTCTTGGTCGACAATAAATAAGAACTGCAAGTAATGAGCTTAGATAGTGATGTCACAACCTACTGTGACAATTAGTATGGCAGTCATTTAGTTCATCTATTGATGCTTCTTAAATTATCCCCTTGGAACTCCATCCCAAGGGGTTAGTTGTCTCACGATTCGACCGCCCAAGTCCACCGACAACCGCATCCTCTCACCATGGCCTCAATTTTTGCACGTGATAGTCTAATTCAGATGCTATACATATGTATGCTATAGGAACCAAATTCGCCAACCAAAATATGTGTCCTCACTTTCGAATTTTCTGATGTGATCATTTATATCATGCCACGAACATTCGAAACGCTTCTTTCGGGAAAATATATTTTTCAAAGTGGCACTTTGAAGCAGTGCTCTCTGATGAGACTCTGAATGGTCGTCTTTGTTCGTGGTGACTGATCTGTCATATTTGATCGTAGCTTTCACTCAAGCACTAAGCTTTGGTTGGCGCATGGGAATGTGGTGGAATCTGATAGAAACTTTTGAAGGTTCGTGTGTCAGCATTATCGTTTGATATGCGGAGGGAGGTTGGAATTTTGTCCAGGGGGTTTTAATCGTGTGCATACGGGAGGTTCATTGGATGCATTAATAGGGCATAGAAATTACTGTGCAAACGGAAGAACGGGCAGCGTTCTGGTATTTCTCCCGCTTCTTTTTTAATTCGACGTGGTAAAGCACAGTTTGGGGCGGCAAGCTCGACGTATTATAGCTTCATCGGCTCAATATAGATAGAGATGAACATGGGGAGAGGATGGCGGTGGAGCAGTAGATGATAGTCTTTTCTATTCATGTTGCATCGAACTTGCAGGCGATCTCGGAAGGAATGTTTTTGAGTCTGTGAATATCATCGCACGAGATTCAATTGTGTTTCTCGGGTGACCCATCACACCAGTTTCCCTCTGATATGATAACTGAAACGCAGATTATGTGGATTCAAGTTTGATGGATCGACCGAGGAAGGAGCTGTCTCCTCAAATGTTGTTACTTCTTCTACGGAGACTGTAGGTGCAAAGCGAATATTGACTTTCCCCTACGATTGATACCATAAGAGACACCCAGGAATAGAGACAGCCACTTTCACTTCATCGCAGCGTCATTAGGTAGATTACAAAGACAATGCTAAACTCCAATCACTCAATTTTATATACTACCTACCTAAATCATATCACATTAAGTGACTTGAGTAAAACGATTACCAAGGTCATATAAGCATAGTGGTTAATTGATTGAAGCTTTGAAGATGGTTTAATAAGATGTTAATTCCTAGATAATCAATCGTTCCCTTCCAGAGGGAACCATACTTGTGAAACGCCATTAATAACTCAGGTCTTTCTCTCCCTCCTGAGAAAATCTCGTTGAGAAGATAAACTATCCCCCTTCCATAAAATGCAAAGTGTGCCCGCCCGCCAACTTGTACCTCATTTTGACCCAATAACCTCATCGGACCTTCTCCCTCGGTGAGTTTGACATGGGCGCTCTTTGTACCGCCAAGTCTTATCGTCAAATACTCCAAGTTCAATTTTTGAGATATCGCTTGTGTCAAATCATTAATAATTTCGTTGACACTCCATGTCGACTCGTCGCTGTCCTTTTCCCATGTTGAATATTGCAGAAATATGACCTCAATTACAAGCTCTTTAAGCCCCTTCGCTATGCCTGGGCTTGTTGTTAGGAATTGACCTAAAGCTTTCTCATTTTTGTAGCCATCGCAGTATATTCGAGATCTTTCCCAGAGCACAGAGCTAAGCTCCAACCTGAATTGTCTACTAGCATTGGCTAACATTCGAATCTAATTAAGATCTACCCAGTCGAGAAAATCCGAGTCGGGCATTGAGGCATGATCTACGTTGAAATTTCCCATATAATATCCGTTTCTATTTGGGTGGTCTTCATGAATGTATACAAATTCATTTGCTTCTTTAACAAACACTGAATATTGTTTCGCTTCTTTCTTGGACAAGAATTGGCGCCTGAAAGCATCCATATTCTCCAGCCATTTCTCAAATCCCATTCCGTAAGTTTCTTTGTACTCTGATTTCCATATTGAACCACGTCCGATAGAGATAGAATTGATAAAAGTTTTTGATTCAGGGTCAAGATGGAGAATAACAGAGGCGAGCAATTGAAATGTAATTGTTCGAACTTCGGTTGGCAAGTCCATGAATCTAAACGGACCCGTTCTATGGATCAAATAAGCACTGTACACTTCAATATCAAAAATATCATACCTCTGGTAGCTAACCATCTTGCCACCTCTTCTACCGGGCTTGTGAATTGCCCTTCCAGTTTTGGCGAAGCGTATCTCTCTGATCCTAATCGCGCGATCAGTCATGGAGGTGAAGTAGAAATCTCCATAGTAATTAAAATCAAAGGGAATCCTGCTCTGGTATTGAATAGCTGGTGGACCATCCATGATCACGGGGGTGAGTGCTAAAAAGAAGAAGAACTGAATTAGAGGGTTCTATCAAAGCAAAAGCTGAGTCGGTAACTTACTTTCTTCCTTCCTCTCTGCTGGCTTCATTGCGACTGCAGAACCTCGCTTCCGTTTAATTCTCTTGACCGTGGTTGCGTAGTTCTTATTGCTGGATCACTAGTGGGTGCACGGACTCACAGGATATGCGCTTTTTGAAAATACTCTTAAAATAAACAATTGTTACGGGAGCTGCCCCTAGGGTCACGTAGAAGTGTCTAGAGATCTCTCGAGGTAGTTTAGACTAGACTTCAAGTAAGAATTCAATAAGATTATAACTATTGCAATTCTTGTAATTATAATAATAAAACTAATGATTGTTCTCTTGAACACAAAGCTTTATATTATAATAAAATCCTATTCCTTATATAGATCTTCATTCTTTAATATTGATTTGGAGTTTCTTGGAGTTCTGGCTCCCAAGGACCTCCTTGGAGCCCTGGCTCCTGAGAACTCCATCACGTAACACTGGTCACATGGCATTCTGTTACCCATCGTAACAACAATCCTAAATATAAACAATCAATTCAACTTCAAAATATTATTGAATATATAATCGATTAAATATGAAATTACTTTTATTAATAAAAAATTATATAAAGAATATAATTTATTAATAAAATCGAAATTTTATAATAAATTTAATTGATATTATATAAAAGAAAGTTTGTACTCTATTTCAACCTAATCAGATATACTAAAATTTATAATTTATTAATAACTTTAAGAAAGATTTATTAAAAAGAAAAGCCTTTAGAAAAACTTATGATCTCTTTAAGAATTTAGAGGGACCTATATCAATTAATAAGAACACTTATAAGATACTTATTTCATTTTTTTAAAATAAATTATAAACTAAATCTTATAAAGTAATAATTAATTATTTCAAATTAAAAGTAAAATGATATTCACTATAAATTTTTTTAAAAAGATTTACAAATTAAGATTAATATTATAAAGCTACCTATTTAAAGAAACGTTTTAATAATCAAAACTATAAAAAACATATTATTTTCAATAGAATATATAAGCATAATACTATAAAAAGATTTTGAAAATATATTTTATATATAAACGAAATATATATAAATCCTGTTTTTATAAGAAAGGAAGAAATATTAAGAAAAGCTGGAATTCGATATAAACTAGAAAATATAATAGAATATCTTTTATTAAAAGGTAATAAAATTCATTATAAAGTATAGATTTCTTTTAAAGAAAAATGTTACGATGGGTAACAGAATGCCATGTGACAAGTGTCACGTGGTGGAGTCCCCAGGAGCCAGGGCTCCAAGGAGGTCCTTGGGAGCCAGGACTCCAAGAAACTCCAACCAACATCAGAGTACGAAGATCTATATAAGGGAATGGGATTTCATTACAATGTAGAGCTTCGTGCTCAAGAACAATCATTAGTTTCATTACTATAGTTACGAGAATTGCAACCAGTTACAACCCTATTGAATTCCTACTTGAAGTCTAGTTTAAACCACCTCGAGAGATCTCTAGACACTTCCACGTGACCCTAGAGGCAGCTCCCGTAACAAAAAAGCTAAAAAAACTTGAATTCTACTATAATAAGGAGAAATATATAGATAAATCGATACTTATATTTAAGCCTAGAAGACATTCCAGAACAAAAAGCTCTAAAAATTACAAAGAAAGACTCTGTATATAAAAGAATGAAAAATCATATCCTAAGGATATCAAGCCTTAAAGTAATACTATAATACAAAAATACTATATGGAATAACTACTCCCTATTTATATAAAAGCAATTGAGAAGCTATAGGCAAAAGATTCTACATATAAATAGCTTTTAATAAAGAATAATAATAATTCTTATAAATTCTTTAAATATAATCTTATATAAAAGCTTAGAAATATATATAATATTGAAAATCTACTTCATTTCCTCTAATTTATCCGATCTGAATTTAATAAAAAGCATTTGAAATATATTAAAGCAATAAATTCGAAAAAGATAGTAGAAAATGTTAAAAAAGTTAAAGAAGATTATATAAAACAAATAATATAATTTAACATCGAATGTATTATATCATCAAATGCACTACTTTTACCTCAATTTACACTTTCAATCTTATATTATTCAACAATAATTAAATTAATTAATTAAAATTATTAAGAATTTAATAATCTAGAATCTATTACATTATTTTGATAAATTCTTACATTATAACCTGTCTTTTCATATTTACTACAATATCAATTAAAAGATACTTTTTTATTAAAATTTTCTTCTTTTTAATATTTATCATATTAAATCTAAATATCAATCTTTTATTAAGATAATATATCAAGAGTCTTTTATTTAATAAACACTTTTTTTTTAACATAATTGAGTTTTTTTCGTATATTAATATTTACTTAATATTTCATTTGCTACCCAAAGTATACAAATCTTTATATTTAAAAGTATATTTTTATAAGCTAATCTCTTTATACCCTTAACTAAAGTTAGTATAATCTTGAATATAGATATAGGAAAGCTTACTTGATGATAAGTTATTCGAAATTTAATTAATATTGATTGAGAAAGAGCTTCAATTAAATTATAAGGGGTTTAAAAGATCTATTGATTTAAATCAAAAGAGGGGGAGGATAGGCATACAAATTCGAATATTTAATTTCGAGAATACAGCTTTAGGATTAAATAGAATTAAATCTGTTCCTTGGAATCCTAATTTTATATTTTGAAAGGTGATTGATTCCTTGTATATAGTTTTAAAAGCTATAAAGAATTCAACCTTCGAAATATGATTGATATATACCTTAATAAATCTATCAATTTGATTATTATATAAACGTTTTAAATTACTAAAATAATTAATATCAAATAATTGAATTAAATAACTTGAATATAATGGTAAATATAAATATATAATATCATTCTCTTTATAGTATGCTTGAAAAGCTATTGATTTATAACTTTTATATTTATCCAATACTAATATTCGATATTTACTCTTTTTTCAATTCTTAGTATACTTATTGAAGTGTTTCAATTATTCTAAATCTATCTTATTATTCGTTTATCTATTAGATGTAGGTTTAATAGTTTATTTCACAAAAAGATTTGTTTCGGTATATCAATTGGAGAGATAAACTTGTCCTTGAACTATTAGAAATGGGAGAATAGTTCCACCCTTTTCATTTCTATATATTATTGTTATAGCCTATTTTCGATTGCCTAACTGTACTGCCTTACTTCTGTCATTTCGTTCAATATTAATTACTATCATTATTGTATATATAATCCCTATCATAAAACCTGTTTTATCGAAATTATAGAAATCTTTATCCAAAATGCTATATTTTGCTCATATATTCATAACTAATCGAAATTACTCTTTAAAATTTTTAGAATTCTCACAAAAAGCTTTTTGAAAATCATAAATATAATTAAAATGTGTCTTTAATTCAATTTGATACTTTACAAATTGATACACTCAAAGCTTTTTAATATATTTCGTATTCCTCGATTTAAGAATATTATTCATCATATCTTTTATATTCTTTAATTTAGATAAAAATCCTTTTAAATCCATATCAAATATATATTAAACAATCATCTTTTTTTCTAATTTTATAATCTTATAACTATTCATTCGAATTTCCATACAAAAGAACAAAACTTTCATTTTACAAAGAAATATTATATATATTATATTATATAGCTTAATAGCTTTATAAATACTGAACTTTTTATCTTTTTAAATAGTTTCAATAACTAAAAGTATTTGAACTTTTTTTCTTATTGATTATATAATAAATGATTGATAAATTGTATATTTAAATTGAAGAGTATAAATTGAAATAAAAGTAGTGTATTTAATGATATAATATATTTAGTAACGTAACGTATGGGGAACTCGGACATATGGGGAACTCGGACACTTTTAGCCCATCACCAACTTGAAACCGCAATAACTTTTATTATGCATACCCAATCACCTTCTACATCTGCTCAAATTGAAGAGAAGCTTCAAAAGGCTATAATTTCACTTCAATTGAAAGAATTTAAATCAATTAGAAAGGCTGCAGAGCATTTTGAAGTCCCTAAGTCTACCCTAGCTGATAGGCTGGCTGGGAAGAAAACACGTTCCCAAACCCACGAAATGGCTCAAATTCTTTCAAACGCAGAAGAAAATACTCTTGTACGATGGATTTCACAACTTACCATCACTGGATTCCCTGCTACACCTATGTTGGTGAAGGAAATGGCCGACGAAATTCGTCTTCGACGCGTTCGGGTCGCGTCATCTCGAAATCCTACCTCGACAGAAATTCCACCTATAGGCCACGAATGGATCTATAGATTCCAAAAACGACATCCAGAACTTAAAACATGCTATTCACGTCAATTAGAGTCTAATCGGGCTAAAGAAGCAACTCCGGAGAATATTCAGGCTTGGTTTGACGCGTTTCGCACGCGTCTCATTGAGCGAAAGTATGAATTAGATGATATGTATAATATGGATGAAACCGGATTTGGAGTTGGAAGTACTCAAAGTACGCGCATTATAGTCGATTCTACTCAGAAATCGAATTGGAAAGTTACAGCTGGCAAGCAAGAATGGATAACTGTATTTGAATGTGTCAATGCAGCTGGAAATGCTCTATCACCTATGGTCATTTTCAAGGCTCAGAATACGAATTCTGCATGGATTCCAAAGGACACACCTCAAAGCTGGCAGTTCTCTACTAGTACAAATGGATGGACCTCAAATAGCCATGGATTAGAATGGTTAAAAAGGGTTTTCGAACCAGAATCCAAGAAAGTGTCAGGTGACCGACCTCGACTTTTGATCATGGATGGCCATTCAAGCCATATTACAGGTAGCTTTATTGCTTTCTGTATAGATAATGATATTGATTTACTTATATTACCTCCTCATTGCTCTCACTTGCTTCAGCCACTTGATATTGCGGTGTATGGGCCAATGAAACGATATCATGCTTTAGAGGTCGATCGATATTCTCGAGCTGGTGTAAAGCGAATCCAAAGAGCTGAATGGGTAGAACTCTTTCAAAATATTAGAAAAAAAGCATTGAATTCTTCTAACATTAAAGCTGGCTGGAGAGGAGCTGGTTTAGTACCTTTTGCCCCACGAAAAGTACTCGATTCATTACCATTTAACTCCTCCCAGCAACCTTCTACTCCACAAATGAGAACCCCCAATCAAGACCTAGACTTGTCTATACTCAGGAGTTCTCCTCCAGATGGAACAGAACTAAGGCAAGCAAATCAGATCTTTAATACAGCTCTAGCAAGCAGTGGTTCTCCTGCATCGCCAACTCGTCGATATGCCAAGAGAATGACTAGGCTTGTAGAATCTCAAAATGCTGAGATAGCCCTACTTCGGAAACAGCTCTCTGATGCTCAGGAGGTAATTGAGACTCGAAAGAAAAGAACTAAAGGCAAAAGAGTCAAATTACAAGGTCAATTTGTCTTTAGTACTAAGGAAGTATTGAAAATGGTACGTGAGGCGGAGGAAAAACCGAAGGAGAAAAAGCCACGAGGACGGCCACGCAAACGCCCAATTGAAGAATCAGAAGAAGAGATTGAAGAAGAAGAGCTAGAGAATAGTTCAAGTGATTCGGAATTGGAATTGGAGGATTGTGTGGCTCGTAGAACAAGATCGCGTGTAGAATAATTGAAAAAGTGTCCGAGTTCCCCATACGTTACGTTATTAAATCATATTAGAATAAGATTATATAAAAGGAAGTTCAAAAAAATATATTAAATTATTTAATAAATATAAAACTTTCATTAATACTAATAAAGAATATATACAATCGAAATTATAATAGTTATTAACTATTTAATTATAATATTATCTCATTTTAGGTTTTTTGAAGTTATACAAACTATCCCGTGAGTCCGTGCACCCACTGGTGGGTATAATGAGAAGATATTGAAGAACAAATTAAAGAGGTCTCAATGGTCCACCATATTAGGTCACCCAGTCGCTTAAATGTATGACAGTCATGGCTTGAAGGTGAGTAATACAAAGATCGAGTATATTCTGAAAAACGGAGCAAAACGTTAATCATCACACAAAGTATCATGAGATTTATTATGACCAATCAACATATCATGCTGTACTATTCATTTACTATGATCTTTCGGTCTCTCCTGCGTGCTTTAACGGTTCCAGTGAGACTCTCGTGCCTTGTGGGATTTCCGAGAACAGAGATTTCCACAGTCCCTACTCATCCATAAACGAGGAGATACCAGTCGTCGGAGCTTTATAATTTACGAAGAAGACCAGTTAAGATGCATTGTCACAGTTCTCGAGTGAATCTATGACGTTGTGCGTGGGTGCTATAACCCTAATTCACGTCACGTTATTACTTCGAAGCCACGGGTGATATTTCAAGATTATGTTGTTGTGACTTATATACGGCGTTGTATCACGCAATATCGGTATGATACATATTGGTAATTATAGATTTCGTTATGAATGTTCTGAATGACTGATAAACCTCATACGGTGATGAATTCGTTACATTATGAAATTGCCAAACAAATCTCTATACAACAATAGAGATGTCGGTAGACGAATCTAAATGCTGCTGTACTACATCGTAAGATCAAGAATATTGATCTTTCGTTTAATCGGACTTACTTTCTCGATTCTCCTAGTAAGATCACCCAGAACGTAGAATTTTGCCTCAAATACTCGGCAAGAAATCTTAAAGTTAATTCGTATGTTTTTGCTATTCATAATGTTGATTGAGATTTCACTAAATCAGCAAAGGAAGAGGAAGGATTGGGTCCTCTGAGGCTCATCGAGAAGACTCTTATCACCAAATCCTTTGAAGTTTCCATGGACAAATTATGGTTTGCCGAATTCTTCACTGTTGATTATTTCGACAACATTGATAAATCGGCATCTATTACTGGATATGAGAATGTTGTATTGAGAATAGCGGAACCCCTTCGCCCCCATACACTTTGCATTTGCAAGCCTGACAACGAGATCAAAAAACATTTAACTAGTCGAGCTGGATCAGACAAAGAATGGTAGTGAGATGTAAGGAGATAATACTTCCTTACACAGCTCTGGAGGGAAGAAGAATGGAGTCACTGAGATCAAATATGCGATTTGCAATTTTCGCGGATGCTCAAGACACACAAAATTAAATGTGTCTTTTTGTTGAATCTGAAAGAGGTATTCCGCTTTTGGGTTCTATACTAGTTCAGAGACTACATGGAGCGAAGGTTCATGAGATGTAAGCCAACATGCATTGCTTTCTGGTAACTTCCCGTGATCTTCTTCTTGGGTGGAAACGAAATGATCAGCTCCCAATTTCAAAGCTTGTTCTTTCCTGTTTGGGGAATGGATAGAGTCCAGACTTCGGCTCCCAAGGCTTTGGCCTAGAGAATACCAAAATGTCCAAGTCCACCAATACTAAGAACAGCGACTTTCAATGCTAGCCTAGGTCATGTTCTATGATAAGTTATTACACATAGTTACGTCTTCAAACGCAGTGAAAATTCCATGATGCACCACCCTAACTCCCATAATCTCAAAATACTAGTAAAAATCATAGCTAGAACATGCCTATCACACTCTGCACGTCATTCAACCAAATTCTTAACAAAATCACATCAATTTACAAATTCTGACAGAAAAGTCATGGTTAGCGAGATACTAGATCGCCTGGTACCAGTCTAAAAGCTAACTAAACCTCGATCGTGGCTACGCTAAAGTCGAAGCTACTCGTACCAAAACCACCTTAGGCAATTTCTTTTTTGAGCTGGAAGCTTTCCCCAGATTTTACTCAAATATTTTTTTCTCTCCTTCGTCGAAAAATTCTTCGGGCAAAAATTACATTGACAGCAATCGATACATTCACCATTACCGTACTCATTCAAGAGATATTAAAGCTTTCAATACGATTCTCAACCTCATCCATACACCAGATTACCGCATTAATCTTATCACCTCGTTATAATTGCATAAACTGTAGTCTAATAACGAATTGACATAATGGATTCAATTAACATCGCTATGGATTCAATGCACATCACCAGGGATCCAATAAATATCACCATGGATTCAATGAACACCATCATGGAGTCAATGAAGTTCACCACGACTTCAATGAAATTTACCATGAATTGGGTGAGTAATCTCCTTTCTCGAACTATACATTGTCCCTCGCCTATTCATACATGAAAGTTCCACAAATCGCTTATGATACATTGTCTTTCTCCTCCATGTTCCGGCTCGTATCTAAATAATCCAAGCTAACCAATTTATAGTCACCCGCCGAGTCTCACCCAGGCGTTCGACACCACTTAGAATCGGGCGACTTGATTGAAGCCGATGATGAGATGGAAGAGCGAGACCGTAAACCACAGAGAAAGGAGCAGCGCAACGCAAAGAAAGGTCGGGATGTCAAAAAAGAAGGCAGAAAACACCGTCACACCATCGCCGATGTCAAAGCTCTGCAATACAAGAAAGGTCGGGTTGACAAAAGAGAAGGCAGAAAACAACGTCACAAAATTGCCGGTTCTCGTCCTCTGCAATTCAGGAAAAGCTCGCCTATCTCTGTATCAAAGCCTACAGCCAAGAGAAGCCGCGAAGATGATGGAGACGACATGACCTCAGATAGAAAGCAGGAAAACGCAGTAAACCAAAGAGCTATAAAGAGGCCATGCGACAAATCTGTCAAGGATCGTACGATCCTGGGCATTGACTTCTTCGACCTTGTTGAAAGAGAAAGAGACGGAGGGGAAATTCGATTCGACATCAAGGAGGACCCGTGGGGATCGTCCAAAAGTGGCAGCGTCACTAAAATCTCTTGGGGAAAGAACGTGAAGCGATTTGAGGACGAAATGTCTATGCTCGATGCAGCAATGGGTGGAACTTCTTTGAATCAATAAAGGTTCTCCTCGCTGCTGTGAGTGGATTCTCTTGGGCGCTATATGCCTTCTTATTTAGACTTAAGAATCATTTTTTTCCTTCACTGAATGATGTTGCGATTCTCCATTACAAGAAGTGCGACTGGAACTCTCACAGGTATAATACAATCAAGGATGATACTGCATTTTGAATGTGGCACTTGCCTTCTGAGCAGCACGTCCCGCGGTTGACAAACACTTTTTTTTTCACGGTGCAACTGGGTAGATTTTTTGCTTCTTGACATTATCTTCGTGGGTGATAAAACTCGTGAGTGAAGCAATAGTATACACGGCCTCAGGCCAACCATGCTCCTGCGTCCATGCTAATGACACATTTTATAGAAATCTTTCCTTCGCTCATTAAATCATGCCGCCATCTTAAACCAGCTCGCTAGTAACATTAGAAAATTCACCCTTCTCCAATTTCGTCTTCCAGAATATTGGGTTGGTATCATTGAATCCGTGCTTAACCCATCCATCTTCCTTGACATGGTACAAATTGATGAAACCTCCAGAATAGGCATCCCTATGTGTGGCAGCCAAAATACTTCTTCTTCCCAACTCCAAGGCTGCCTCCTCGCTCAAATCGTATGAGTATTCCGCATCCAAAACACCATATGCGAAGGTTTGACCGGATCCAACACAAAAGAGGTTTCCACTCAATCTTGTTCCGTCGGAATCGATGTAGTAAAGCGCGGGCCCTTCTTCCTTGGTAACACCGGCACACATAGTTCCCATGGACAATCCCATACCCTTGTATCTATAAACGAGGTTTGCGAGAATCTTAGAAGCAGCCGCGACAGAAATACGGCGTTTGTGACGAAGTTCGTGAAGTCTGCATTGCATACCAAGATATGCAAGCCAATATTGACAATCCTAAGTTTCAAAACTCAGTTATGACCAGGCAAAAATCTGTTCAGTGATGAACTTGGTAACTTACAGCAGCACCACCAGCCATTGTGCCCAATAAGCAGTTATTAATCTCAATGACCTTCTTAACTGTTTGACTTGCAATCCAGTTGCCTGCCGTTGCTCTTGAATCTGTCGCTACAATAATTCCACCTTGGAATCTGAATGCTAAAGTTGTGGTACCGTGTGCGATCTTAATGGGACAGTCTGGGTTCGCATGGTCATCGGTAGCTGCTCGGAGCCAAGCGGATGGCTAGAGATGGACTGATTAGCATTTTACACATCGACGCTTTATAGCGAACAGAACCCCAGGTCTGGGAATAGATAATCTTAAGGCTAACGTACATGTGCGACAGGAGGCATGGCGAATTTCAAAGATAAGCCAGGAGCTGGTTGGTATAACTCCATCTGGTCTTCCTGAGGAGCTTCCTGCTCGTAAGCAGGGGTACTGTATTGTGATACTAGAGAATCCATTTTCAAAAGACAAGTCGGATGTCGAGGTTCAAAAGTTCAGCGGAAGCGTAGAGTTGTGGGATTGAAGTCGCTGATAGATTTGTTGTTGATGTTGTATCTCCAGTTACTAGGTATTGATTAATCGTAGCTTACTAGGCAGCTTGAGTTTCGCGTCAGCGGGCGGTAACTGCTCGTTTTGCCAGGCCTTACTTAATGCAGACTAGCGCCATCAGCCAATTGTACCTTGTTGAGGTAATCTTTCGATATCATATAAAGCTTCCCCGGCTGCAAGCCTCACAAATGTTGTTTTGCTTTTACTATTCTCTTGGACAAGAAACTTCAATCAAAAGCGTTGTGTTATTTCCTCTTTTCTTCCTCTGTAGCCCGATAATCTTACTGTTATGCGATATCATGACTCGGAACCGTGACTTCCGCACGAATGTACACACAAGATACGATAGAAGCTACTACTCTGAGCAAAATTCAACATCAAGTGCGAACAAGATGGGGAAACACAACTAAACTTCTCGTTGTCATATTTTCTTTATCATGGAAACAAGCCGCAGGTACTATTTAGTATCGTGTCATGTACACTCTCGAAGAGGAACACGAGGAGAGGACTTTTGGCCTAGACCCCATTGGTACCTCTACCTACCTCTCTTCCAAGCTGATTTTCTAGCCAGTCTCAACCATATACTTAAGTATAAGATCTCTTAACTATACACCTGAGTGTATAATCAGCTGAATATCGAGCTCAGCTCTCTAAGCCGTGGAAGCTCCGAATGCAGTAAGGTAGGGCATAATTATATATATCTTATGCATCAACTGGGATACATGTGAAGACTTTTGTGCTTTATCATTGGTATGCTCTTTGACTTCCTTTTGGCCATCCATGTTCACTTGAGTTTGCGAACTTTACAACATCCTGGAGTTGAAGACGTTCAGAGATCTCTGTGCATCGCGAGACGGATTGAGCAAAAGGAAATGCCAGCCCTGTTGCTTGCAACAAGGATTGATTCGCAAATCTTTACCCCAATTCCTCAGCTGTCCAGTGACAAGCAGTATATCCACCCAGCTCCAAATTTTATCCATGTTCTAGGCTCATTACCGAGATGCATTTAAACAAGATTTATTGGGTGGGAAACCTTTTGCGATACAATCTGAATACGACCACGCTCATTGACATTCTTAATATATATTCATCTCATTGTTCACCGATCTATCAACATATCCTTTGATGTCAATAGGAGGTTACCCTAAATCACTGCATTCAGCCTCCAAATCCGCCTAAGTGATTAAAATACGTCAGTTTGTCATACAATCGGTTTCTTAAAACTTGACTACGCAACTCTAAGAACATCGCTTCGCTATCACGATTCCGTGTCTAAAAGACACAGTCCGAATATTTCCATGAGTTTTCAAACACCATAGTTCCTACCTTCAACATAAACCCCCATTTGTTCACCTTGGGTACCCTCACTATCGTGTTCTCGGTCAATTACCGATAAAAGACCCATTTGTACGTCCTGGTACCAGTGTGACGTTATCGTCGGATTCATCAACACAGATCGGAAATATTCGCGTAGAAGCCGTGTATCTGTCCCAAATATTATCAATTTTAGCAGCTGATGATAGACTGAAATGCTTTTATACTAATTTATCCGTTTCCCATATTTTTAAGCTTATATGTACTGATCTCATCCCTTTGATGAGACCTAATTCATCATGTTGCCATCTTCAGAACGCAAAAGAATTCGCGAGGTTCGCCGCTACTACAAAAGATCTCCCGATGATCCCCCTATCGCTGGCGAAATACCGGCCGAGAGTCCCGAGACAGTCAGGTCCGTGGAAAAGGCTAGCAGCCCCAATAGTACACTAACTGCGTTGATGCAATTGATCACGTGGCGTCTTGGTGCCTCAAGGGCGATGGTGTCTGTTGTTGATGATAATGCACAAGTACTTGTGATTCCTGTCGACACTACTTTTGCAGTATACTCATGCCCCTACAGTACTTTCTCGCGGAAGCAACAAAAACACTGGATTTGGCAGACTCTTCAAAACATGATCCAGGTGATGATTTATGGATGGGTTGTGGCGGGTAAGATTCCTACAGTAATGAGACTTTCGGGACAGTTTCTGACAAAAGCCACGTTTTCCAGAACAATTCGCAGCGAAGCTCTATGTGCGGTGAGTTTTACAGAACACCTGTCGCTCACTACTAATATCTTGTGACTAGTACACTATAGAAGTTGTCCCTGAACCAAATCATTATGCCTGTTTCAGTGTTCCTGATTTATCGGCCGATCCCAGGTTCTGTAATCTGCCTTATGTTGCAGGCGGACCGAAATTCCGATATTATGCAGGAACACCTTTAATCAGTAATGCTGGAATACCAATTGGAAGTGTTTTTGTCATTGATCCAAGGCCACGTGAGCGAGCCACGAGGGCAGAGGTCGATTTCTTGGGACTAATGGCAAAAAACGTCATGGAATACCTTGAAATGAAACGGGAAAGTGTGCAGTTGCGGCGAAATGATGTGATGTCTAAAGGATTGGCGGCTCTAGTTGAGGGTCAAAGTAGGATCCCACGACAGTTGCCAACAGATATGGTCGTCAAGTGCCAAGAAGTCAACGGCTCTCACTTGGATGAAGTGAAAATGGTTAATACTAACTTACAAAGTAATTTGGTTGTTGTTAACACATCTTTAGCGACGGTCGCGGAGCAGTCATTGAAAAATATAGTGGGCCCTCCACACGCACTGGTTGGGGAAAACTTGCTACATGATATCTCACCTAATACATCTATAGATAAATTGGCATTGGCTGATGCCCCAGCAACCCATGATCGGATACTCTCACGAGGTGCCAACCTACTGAGAGAATCTCTCGATGTTGATTTTACAATTTTCTTCGATATGAGTGTTGGCTTTTCAACCAGTGTCGAAAATGAACAGAACGGAGATGTTAGATCGCCTGAAGATACGTTTTTGGATGATCCAAACTCAAAAAATGAGTTCACCACAACACCTGCTCATCTTTCCCAGGACAACGATATCGATTTATTGAATACATCTGCCCAGCCTTCATCATTTAACAGGCGAAGTAATGAAGCAGGGTCTGCTAAAGTTAGAAGTTTTTCCACATCAACTTGTTCATCGCTGGATGGCGATACACTATCTTGTACCCTCTACAAAGCGCCAAATGAAAAAGATCTGCAAAGACTTTCGAAAAGATATCCTAAAGGTAAAGTATGGACGTTCAGTGGCTATGATTCTGAATCTTCAGAAGACGATGACTCGCCACCATCTAAACAAATGCTCGCTATGCAGCTTAATCCACAAAATCATCAAGTCAGGAAATCTGATCGCAGCATACTAAAGCAGTGCTTTCCTGATGCTCGAGAGGTTCTTTTTGCTCCACTCTCCGAGGCAGGGACTGGATTACCCATAGTGGCATGCTTTGCAGTATCCCTGCGGGACATAGCAATTTTTACCTCCGACACTGAAAAGGCATTTGTTCGTGGGTTTTTGAACAGTGTTTCTATTGAGTATAACCGAATCTCTATCGCGACTGCCGATCGTCAAAAAGGAGATTTCATCTCAAGCATATCACATGTAAGAAAACCAACCATATTCATTTGCAGATATTTGCAGTATGATATGTCTTCATATGGAAGTGCTCAAGTTCGGGCCTTCAGACGCGAGCCTCGAAAATTTCAGATCTACATTTGTTAAATTTATACGGTAGCCAGGATGCCCCTACAGTTCATTCACGACGGCTTCCTGTGTAACTAATCATTGGCTCATCTAAATTTGTGAATCAAAGCTGATTGATTCTATCGTCAACAGGAATTGAGAAGTCCACTCCACGGAATTCTTGGGTCTGCCGGTATTTATATCCTGCCTGGAGTACTCAGTATATATTTTAACATTTCAAATAGAACTTTTAAGCGAGACGAATCTTGATAATGGTCAATTTGAATTCTGCTCGACAATAGAAACGTGTGGTCGAGTCCTCCAAGAAACTCTAATGGATGTTCTTGAATATTCCAAGGTATGAGCTCGATTTCCTCTTTCGATTTTATGGTCGAGGAGCCTTTGGATCGTCAGCTCTCCTATCACATCAAGCTAATACGTATAGCTAAATAATCTAATGAAGCACAAAGGAGCTAGTGTGAAAGCCACAGGTACGAACGGAAATTCTTCCAATTCCCAGCAAGCAAACGGCGAAAGTCTCACGAGCGACGATCTACTTTCTCAACCCCTAGATCTTGCTAGAATGTGTGAAGACTCAGTGGCAATTGTTGCAGTTGCATACATGCACCACAAAACGAATTCGGAACAGCTTCTACACCGAGTAATGCAACCTCCAGGAACGATGGAAACGCAAGAGAACCAGACACTGTACAAATCTAACTCTGTCACTGTGTCCTTGCAGATTTCATTTGGTCATTGGCACTTCTTCTGCTCTCCGGGATCTTTGCAGCGAATCATTATGAATCTAGTCGGTAACAGTCTCAAGTATACATCGGCAGGCTTCATAGATATTTCTTTGGCTGTTGAATCTCCCAATAATAATAACTCTAAGATACCGAAGAGATCAAATATTGCTAGTGATGATTTGGTGGTACTTCGAGTTAGTGATAGTGGCAAGGGTATCTCTAGCGAGTTTCTGAAAAGCAAACTCTTTATAGCCTTTTCTCAGGAGTCGTCATTGGCACCAGGCACTGGTAAGAACTCGACTGATGCTTTAACCTCGTTGATATGCTGATGTGCTGTGTAAAAGGACTTGGACTTCACATCGTATATTCTCTCGTGCGGATGTATAACGGGACTATCGATGTTCAAAGTCAAATCGGTCATGGAACAACTGTTACAGTCAAACTGCCCCTCAAAAAAGCAGTACCTAATCTAACTTCTATCACCCCCTCCGATGCACTTCTCAAGGACCAAGTCGAAGACTTGAAAATGTTGCTCAAGCAATTTAAATATTCCAAGTTCTCAACTCATGGTTTTCAGTCTGGCTCATCTTGTCATCTAAAGAAATCCCTGCACGCCTATCTTTCACAGTGGTTTGGTATGAATCATGATCCGGACGATGATGCCGCTGATATTGCTTTCGTCACTGAAGAAAAGCTCGATTTGTTTCTTGCAGAGCTGATGAAAGATGGTACATCCAAGCCCTCGCTTATAATAGTGGTACGATATGTTCCAAGCCACAGCCATACATCCCAACAGAGCTCGGCTATTGGAATACCCCTTGAAACTCTCACGATACCATTTGGTCCATGGAAATTGTTAAAAACATTACGCACCTGCCTATCACCAAAGCAGATATCACCCAAACCGTCTCCTATAGTCGATCACAAATTTTTCTATACCAGCCCTTTGCCCTCTCCGACCGCTGACATCCGGAAAGAACTTGGGACAACCGTCACCAAACCCGTAGTAGAGGAAGCACTTACTGAAAAGTCACTCTACGTTTCCCAAACTCTATTACATCCAAGTCAGCCAACAATTCTTTGCGTCGATGATAACCCTATCAACCTTCGCCTCCTTAGAGCGTACTTCCGCAAACTGAATTTCGATATCACGTGTGCGGAAAATGGAGCCGTAGCGTTTGAGAAATATCGTCTTCGGCCCAACGGTTTTGATCTTGTATTCATGGGTACGTCAAGAGAACATTTCCTGGCTTCAATTTTTTACCCCCCTTCACTTCAATACACATGCACATCAATGATCCACAATCAGCTAATATATCTCCCAAATTCAAAGATATCAGTATGCCAATTTGCGATGGCTACCAATCTACACGACTGATTCGATCGCTCGACAAACTTCAACAAAGTATCAGTCCGACCCCATTACCACCAACTCGTATTGTGGCACTCTCGGCCGCGTATTCAGATGCAGATATGGAGATGGCGAAGGCAGTGGGTGTTGATGATTTCTATACAAAGCCGATGAAGGTTAGTAGATTGGAGACGCTGATGAGGGGTTGGGGATACCTAGATTCATGACCATGAGTCCAATTTTTTTACTTGAGCATGGTAGATATGAGATTTGATGGGATTGTGAGAACAATGTAAAGATTGAGTTGAATACACAGGAAGTTCGGTGATTGGAGATAATTGAGTAGGGTTACATCTACAGACGACTGATTGAAAGTTTGGAGACATAACGGGAGGGCGTTGACGGCATCTTGAAAAATGGAAATGGCGACAACATATGGATAATATATTAATACACGGAAGATATATCATACTACTTCAGTTCTCACTTTTTCGTTTTCGCAACTTTGTTTTACCATTATCCATCACTCAATTACATATCAGATTTAACCAAACTTCGCGTGTCCGAGCTTAAGGAGCATGATGGAAGTCCATCAACTCGTATTTAGACAAGACAGCAATATATTCTAGCCAACTACAGATTGAGAAAGTGGCAAATGCCAATAATGCTCAATGAGTGTAAAGAATGTCAATGTCCCGGAAGCGAATAGAGTCAAATGCGTCATGTACAGAAGAGTGAAACTTCGATTTGACAAATTAAATTGAAAAAGAGTGAAAGATCCCCCTATAGAAAGGTCTAATGCGTTGCATGAAAATAACGTGAAACTCGGAGTTCGAGTATGCGCCCTCTTCGTTTCCTGCTCGCTCTGTGATCATGTTAAGCTCGAGATCAAGTGTGCGATTATGCCTCGGATCGTACGTGGGTAGAAGAGATTTGCATCGGGTAGCTCGAAAGACTGGCCGACATGGCTTGTATTTGTTTACATTTCTCTTCTCATTGATCCGAATACTTGTTGCAGGCCTGGGTCCCACAGATCTACCACTGGTAAACCAAGTCCGAGAACGTGATTCGTTTGTCGTAGGGCTAGATGATATAGTCTCTCCCTCTCCTTTCTCTTCTCAGCTAGTTCTTCCCACACTTGCAAAGCAGGGCCGGTATTCGAGGATAAAGCTGGAAACTTTATTTCATATTGTCCCCAGGTTCCATCATTCACATGTACGCTGTAGGTTTGATTATGAAGCCCTGGCAGTTTATCATGTTTTATATAACATATTTTAACATCAAACTCGGCTTCCAGTGTCTCTGTCAGCGGTAAAATCTGTTGAAGTAATGCAGCGACGGCAGTTTTTCGAAATTTGACTGATGTGAACTTTCGCCAACAACATTCGATCTGGCGAATGGGATATTCCCGACCTTGTGTTAGAATTATTGAAGGTTCCAATCCGTTGACCTCATTATTAAGAAATACTGCCCATTTACGGAAGACACTTCGAACTGCAATTCGATCTCCGTTTCCAACCCAAAGTACCGAACTCTGTGATGCAACAGATTCTCCCCCACAGTACCAGTCTACGACTAGAAGAAGTAGCCCACCTTCCCAGATCGTCCAATTTTGTTGTCTAAAGCTCGTCGACTTTGTTTCATTCCAAAGCATAGAAGTTGTATCTAAGTTCGGAAAGGGTGTCAATTCAGAGGAACTCATCCCACGCTGCAATCCAGACATCTCGTGAAGAAAATCGACAGCAGATGCACAAATATTAGACTGACTGAACCGGTTGATCGAGGTAGATTTGCTTTATTTTCTAGTGTGGCAACGATCGAAAACAGTTCAAATGCAGAAGGTTCTTTGGGCGGGTATGATGGAAGTACGAGACAGAATCAGAGACGATTCTGATATTTATCGGAAGATGTATATGGTCTACAAATCTCAGTCGAAGACTTTGTAGGTAACGTACCAAATGTAAAGACGTCGAACGATGAAGTGATGACGTTAGTAATGATATTAAACAGCAAGAGGGTCTGGAAATTGTAGGCCTGAGCGAGATGATCAAGATGGGAGATAATTTCCGTCATTGTAAGATGTTGTAGGGTGTATTTGATTTGTTCAGTTGTGATGCAGTTGTGAGAAGTTGACTATTTTTATACTTTCCCTTGTGGAAAAAAGGGAAAGAGAAACTGCGAAAATAACCCTAGCTTATTTGTGCGTAAATCTAATAGTCTCTACCTATCTTAAAAGTCTGGTAATTGCAAGATTCGATACATTGCGACTGGACAAACGCTTGATTTCGAGACAAATTGCGATGCTGATGATGTTAAATCGCTTGAATCTGCTACTTATACGTGATGAACTGTCTATATTCAACAGTCAAACAAGAATTGAGTACATTAATGGTGAGTGGATGCAACATGGCTGGTAATGATGAAGTGAATTCAAGAGTTCTACGCAAAATTTCGAATCGAGACATACTTAACACCCTCAACATGATGCATGAAATCGTCACCAATTGAAACCTCCAGATATTGCGCATATAGCTTGCAGATGAGGGGATTCCTATACCTAATAATTCTATACATAATACGACATTTGACTTGCCTGATAGTTATTCAAGATCTTTTGATCACTCAAAATAACCAGACGTGATTGAAGTTCAATGCTTAAATATAACATTGTGAGTAACTCCAATCTCTGAATTTCTCCCTATTTCTCTCTCCTAAAGTTGTGCTGCGTCCCTTTCTAGGGCCTTTTTGTTCACATTCGTGTGATTCTTTCTCTGACCTGCTTTTCAAGTCTCGCCTCATTTACTTGTGCTTTATGAATGTCATGAATTTTATATCGTCTTAAAAAATCGGTAAGAAAAACTATGTTTTGTATTGACCCAATGTTCCATCACCTGTACAAGATTTTATAAAAGGAGTTTTCTCGATCTTGGCTCTAGGCAATGGACCTGATTGTGAATAACAGATAATCATAAAAAGTTCCTTCTCTATCTGGGATTTCAATGGTAGAATTTGGGAGTTCAGTGCAGTAATAGCATCGATTCGCGCCTTATTGATCGCTTGCAAAAGAGAGTATCTAATCCAGACAGACTCCAAGTCAAAGGCACTGCGCAAACAACCGTAACAGATCTGATGGCATCGTAACCCAGGGGATTCTAGCTCAGTGGACTTTTCGGTGTGGATGAACGGTGTCCATATTTTTATGATACATAAAATTCCGCAATATCCTCGATTTTGCAAACATTCTGCTTCGGTATACCCCCAGTATCCGTCAGCAACTCCTTCTAGCGTGTAAAGTCGATGACGAGTAGTATAACTGCATCTCCCCAAGGTGAGAATTGTATTAAGTTAGTATTGATATGCATTGTCAGATTGGGTAAACAGAAAGTTGATCGTGGTCAAGGAGTGAGGTAAAGTAAGTACAAGACACTGGGAGATCAGGATAACAATTCGTTGCTGCTCACAGGTATCAGTTCCCCTGTTCTGACATCCTGATCCAACTATTACTTGAGATTTTTTAAGCAACGGAATTGTTCGGGAGAATGTGATATGATGCAGACTGAAGTTATAAGATATCACATACGATGTACTTTGTATCGTTATATAGGTACGGTGAGTGTGATGATTTTGCAGGTCCGATGTATCGATTCTGTGGATTCTGCAATGGCAGTGAGATTCTCAGAGAATTCCAAATGGCTAAACGTGATCCAAAATGATAGAGTGAGTGTTGCTGAGTTATTTCCGAAGCTTGAGATAGTTAAAGGTATGAGATATTCGATGAGGGACTACAAGGTAGTTTTCAGAGAGAAAGAACGACAAGGGAAAGCGAAAAGAGCAGGATTAATCACAAATAAAGCTAAGAGTTCTAAATTCCTTCTACTTAAATGTGATCTCCTTATGAAAGTTACGACATATCTATAAATCTGCAAAGTAACACAGACGTCGTGGCCACCATCAGCTCTCTGGGCAAAAAAAAAAACACCATCGAGGTGTACAATACCAGGTCTGTTAAACCTTCAAACACTCGCTGTCATAAAAGCAGCATGATCGTCACTCAGATAAAAAGTGTATGGCAAGATTTATCCCAATTCTATCTTCTTTTTAAGTGACACGGAATCGAGGAAATAGAAATTGCAGTTTGCATATATATTTTCACGCAAATTTTCCGTGTAATACCATGCCATAGTTGCGAAGCGACATTGAGTCTTCAAATAGTCCGATCTAAGTATCAAAAAGGGAAACATGACATATATACAACTAATTACAAATCCATAAAGCTCCAGATCCAAATAACGCCGTGTCCGGCTAGGTATTCCCATATCCAGATAACTCCATATCAAGAAATCTCCACAGTCAAAATACTACACAAAAAATAACTTCAGATCGGACTATTCTTGATAGGATATAGCCCGCTCCAATTTAAATCCTCCTCGGAATCCATCTCTGGCTTATATTCGCCCCTCATCTCATACATGGCTGCCGCCGAAAAGCCCGCTTTCATGGCTGTCTTCCTGTTCCACAAAATTCTTCGAATCAAAAATCTTATGGCATAGCCATGAACCCCGAGCATCTCTACCCAATCTTCTTTCTCCATCGCGAACATTTTGTATCCTGAGCCAACAAATTTATTGGCAATGGATGTAGCCGAGGATTGTGGAAGAAAGACGTAACAGGCCCGAAGCTGTGCTGCAATCCACATACAGCACTCAGCATTGGTGTAGTCTTTCTTTGGGGTTGTTGTCCACCTTATTTTCTTAGTACAGTCTGGGTCCTTGGTGGGAAGGTCTCCCTCGCAGACATCGGTGACTACTACTTTTGTTCGTCGGCTGACTTGGGTCTATATCGTACAACTCGAGTGCCGCAGCAGAGCATCACGCAAGAACTTTTATGCAATTCGGTTGGTTGCACCCACTCGAATCAACCAAAAAAACGAGAGGACTTTAATACATCAAGATGCCCATAATGATTTTAGTTTAGAAGAAGACTTGGTACTTACGGGTGTCATCCGATTTATTGAATGATTGGTTTCTGTATACCATTGCCGAGTTGTGTCTCTTGTGGCTGAGCAGTGAGTTGAAGGATTGAAAAGGCATCGTAATCTTTGTAGATGATTCATTCAATAATTTCATGTCGAAGATGGCAAGTGGGTAGATAAATAAGTATACAGGTTGAAAGAGAAAAAAATCTTGTGAGCAAAAATTGCGCGACCTTTATATAGTGAGAATCTAGTCCAGTGTATGCTACTAAAAAATAGTCAACTTAGCTTACAGGCTAGACCCTCGAGTTCAACGAAGGGGTGAGAGAAATCGGTCAAAATGCTACAAACACAAAAGTGAAATGACTTCTAAAGAGTGATTTTTGGGACTTTGAAATCGTTTATATATGATTGAAAAGAGAGCTCAGAGCAGAAATATCTGTGAATTCGATTCTAAAACTTATCACGAATTGAGAATATATTTGCAGGTGGTTTCCATAATAGACATAGGGTTCTCCTGCTAGTCTCGTCTTGCATCTAAAAAGCTTATTTAACACTACCAACTTCACATTTTGACATGCCAAGAAACTTTCTCGATGTTCGACTGATCTCTATAACGCATGGATCAAAATGAAACACGTTGAAATTGGGGTTAAAAACCTTACTCTCATTAACGGTTAAAGATAAAGTCATGAGATTGGTGACATCAAAGCCTCGGAACTGCAGATATTTCCAACAATTGAACTAACAAAAAAATAAATGGAGAGAGGTTTCTGTCAGGCCAACAGAGTCCCAATATCATATCGCGTCCTTTTGTGACATGGTAACTGCAAGTCATGCTCGTAGACCCAACACTTGCTGGACTTGACGTGCGTACGTACAAATCATTCAAGAGAAAGTGATGACTTTTCTTCCCGTGACCAAACGAACCTTATTCCATGTCCAATTATCGTGGTGACCTTTCCTGGATCCATGGTCCAGAAAATGATGATCATGACGCGCATATATTGTTCATGAGTCAATACGTCGATTGAACATAGTAGGAAAGTCACCGTTCCTTTCGTTGAGGTCGTCCATCTTTTGAGGATATAATATTGTCCCACAAGCCTCCCTTAACCTTAGATGTTCGGTGAAAAGTGGTCATTGACGCGCACGTGCTCTCAGGTGCAATGGCCTTACGTCATCAAGCTGAGAATCAGCCCTGCGCATGGAAAAATAAATTGATAACTTAACCTTAGCCCTTAAAGAAATATTTTGAGTCATTGCCCCACCACAACTTCCTCAGAAGACAAATGAATCTGCACAGTTTTTGAAAAGACTCAATGAAGAGGAAGTATGTTCCAGATATCTCTAGGATTTTTCAAAGGTTTATTCAAAAGGAGGAGCCGTAGGATACAACGTTAAAGATTACCGTTTTCAATCTGGCTTTTCGAATTCCACGAACGGCTACAAATCTCCTCTCAAACTTTCACAAAATTAGTATCAAAATGCCTTCTATTGAAGTGAACGGCAACGCCGTTAAAACTCGCATTCTCCCGGTCAATGTGTCTGAGGTTGGACAATTCAATAATCGAGAAACCCTTGAGAGATGGGAACTCCCTAGGGATCTCGCTGGACTACAATCTATCGCGGAAGCAGCAGAGTACCTCAAGACAGAAAGCATACCCGTAGCCTTTCCAACAGAAACTGTTTATGGATTGGGTGCGGATGCGACGCGAAGCGATGCTGTGAAAGGAATATACAAGGCTAAAGGGCGACCTTCAGATAATCCACTGATTATACATGTTTGCGATCTTACCATGCTACGCAGTCTCCTGACCTCGACCGATGAGCAAAGCGTCGATACTGATTTTTCCGAAATCCCAGAGATCTACAGACCACTAATTAAGCGCTTCTGGCCGGGTCCCTTGACTGTCCTTTTGCCAAATCCATCCCCAAGCAAATTGGCACCAGAAGTAACAGCAGGTTTACCAACATTCGGCGCACGCATGCCAAGCTCTCCCCTTGCACTCTCTCTAATACGCCTCGCTGGTGTTCCACTTGCCGCCCCATCTGCGAATGCCTCTACGAAGCCTTCTTGCACAACCGCTCAACATGTGCATCATGATCTTGACGGTAGAATCGAAATAATACTCGACGGTGGTGCGTGCCAGGTCGGGGTGGAAAGTACAGTTGTAGATGGCATGTGCGATCCTCCAGTTGTTCTCAGACCTGGGGGCGTGAGTATTGACGAGATTCGAGAGTGTCATGGCTGGGAAGGTGTTGTGAAAGGATACCAAGACAAAAGTGAAATTGGAGACAAGGCACCAAGAGCACCGGGAATGAAATACAAACATTACAGTCCCAAGGCGAAGGTCATATTGTGCGAGAACGGGCGCGGCATTGAACCTCTTTTCGGTGACGAAGCGCTCTCAATCGTAGCAGCACGAGCTGAAGAGACGGAACATACTGGGCGCAAGGCTTTATGCTCCGACAAGCCAGCCACAGTTGGTATTATATCTACTCTGAATTGGAGATTTCGACCCGGGGGTGAAGGTTTTGCCGGCTATGATGTTCAAATAGATGAAGACAAAGTCAAAGGAACTACAGACATAGAAGGGGTCTTACAGTCAAACGAGTTCATGCTCTACACGACAAAGCATAAACCTTGGATCAAAGATTTAAGTGATCAGACGACAGGCTGGTATGTGGCAAAGTGTCTGAAAATTGCCCTGGGTAGTGAAATTAAAGATATTGCCCATGGTCTCTTTTCGGCCCTGCGCGAGTTGGATCAGAAAGGATGTGATGTCATTTTCGTCGAAGGCATCAAAGACGAGGGGGATATTGCAGCAGCCGTCATGAATAGACTGCGAAAAGCAGCCACTGTCATTGAAAGATAGAAGATACAGAATCACTGCCAAAATTCATTATATCTACCATAGAACAAGCTGCGTCCCATTATGATTTCACTATTCCTATACCTGGGAATTTGATATGCCCCAACTCCAGTATAATCTAAACTCCTTTTATGGCTCCCAACCAAATATAATATTGCCCATCCACAATGACATGATCTTCGTCTCCACGCCCTCTACAGACCCTGCCTCAACCAATCTCCTAGTTTGGCCTTTCCGAATTGTGCCAAATTGTTCATGCCTTGCTCACTCAAATCGATACCCTTCAATTGTGCCACATCTTGCGTAGGCGCCTTGCTAACTCTTTGAACGATAATCGTGGGGTCTGTTTCGAGGATAATACCATCGTCAACCATTTCATCGACTGCCAGGGAAAGGAGGTCGTAGTTTTCGACTATAGTCCGTTTGTCTACGGATTGTCTGTGACACATTAGCTTTACTTTCTTTCACGACTCGAGCAATAGAGAGAAAGAAGTAGGGAGTAAAAGTCCAGGGCACATATTTCCCATTGGGACAAGACGTACTTGAATAGCAGATGCAAAGAATCCCTTAAAGCTAAAATGACATTATAAAGCATAATCTCATTCTCATCCACTCCTCCAACTACATACATCATAACATCGCTCTCGCTCTTATATAACACAATGCGATTGTCGTAGAGGATGATATCTGCGTTTTGCTTTTGGGTCTTCTCGAGGAGACCTTTCTCGAATGCTTTTTGCGATTTTTGATCGGGGTATGGTGGTGCTGGAGCTAAAGAGTATGTCAGAAGCTATATTATCAGAAATGGATGTAGAAAGTACTTACAAGAAGAGTTATGGTGGGGTGGTGCGTAGTATTTGGTGAATACTCGGGAGCCATCTTCGGCATTGAGAATTATGATGGCATTAACGGAGAAGAGTGACATATTGGGCGCCATGATGATATTTTGGGGCCGATTGGCAAAAGTATTTTGATGGGAGTTAGGAGTGCGGTGTGCGGTGTACGAGGGGGGGTTTCTGGAGCTGGAAGAATGAAGCTATTGGTATGGAAATCGTGGTCGCAATGTCATTCGTGCCTCAGGGTTCACTGAGTTTGAGGAATACGGAATATAGTTGCTCCGTCCTCCGGGATCGCATAATAGGAGACGAACCACAGAGCACATCGATACCTATTTGGCAGCAGCTGTCTTCAACAACATTATTGTTTCTCTAAACCTTTGCAGTGATAGACCTCTTTGTAAGGTCTCAGAGATACAGTGGTATTTGTTTCAATTATCTCAACCTCGCACGTTTCATTTGTTTTTAATTTATGACTGAATTGGTTCGAGATACTTCATGAGATTTGATTTTTGTGATCGATCCACGCATGTGCTTTCACCTGTCTATAACGCACCCCATCAAACAAATGGAGAATTGATATTCAGTACGATTCGTGATGCAAATATAATGAGCGGCGCAACACAAGTTTAGTATTTAGCAAAGGCAGAATCGAGTGATCGGTCCTTGCGCTAGCCTCGGGAGTCTACATCTAGGTATTTCAAAGCTATGGAAGTCTACATTGAATACCGGTACATCAACAGAAATGGCGTGGCAATCATTCGTTACGTGATATCACAGCGGTGATTGTCAAGTTTATACATCTTCTATGTGTCACTATTGCTCTAATTGCCGAGTTTTCTACTGGCACATCCATCGAAGCACCATTTCGCTCTTCTGGTCTACCGTGTGACTCCTTATTGCAGCTGCGCAATTGGCAAGGCGAGAGTCATGTCTTCTGTTAGTTCACAGATCTCGATAACAAGGCAAATTAAGATCTCATTGTTCTCCATCGTTGTATCTTCTTTGTTATTCTTGAATCACTTATCGCCTTTCATCTTTCATTTTTCTTTGTTTGATTATGAAAGTTAAACAGCATATATTTTATCGGTGAACAATGCTATTGTAGTTGAATATATAACTCGTTTTTACAGATTGCCTCTAAATTAGAACATCATTCACACACGCACAAACACCAAACTTATCAAACCACATCTTAGCTATCATGGGTTCTGACGATGAATTGCCTGCGCGCAATGCACCTTTCCATGACCCGCAAATAACTTCAACGCATTCAATTTCACATCAAGGAAGAGCGAAGATGTTCCACCCTCTTCCAGGGCAGCTTATCAAAGATTGTCAGCGTCAATGGGCCGATAGCTTAAATAGGTCTCAAAAGTACCACGAAGCTACTATCGCTAATCATGTACCAGGAGCAACTGAAATTCCTGTTCCCTCCATGAAGATAGTCGCAAGGACACCACGGCCAAGCGAATCAAATGTAGGCACCAACACAAAGTTAAATGATCGCGATGTTTTCTTTTCTCTGGCACAAGGCAACGGAATGCTCAAGATAAGTGTAGACGCGATGACAGAATTTATTTGTGACTATGCTAATCGTTGGCACTCTGCTCTCCCATCCAGTGATCCAAGCAAAGTAACACCTAATAGATATCTTCCTGGTACTGTTCCAATGTTTGCCTACTGGTCCACTTACTTCCACGAAGTCATGGAGCAAGGACCAAAGCATGCTGCAGCAGAACTGACCAAGAGATTTTCGCGAGAAGAGTTTTGGCAGTTGCGCTATATTTTCTTCCTTATTCAAACGGGTTCAGAAGAACGCGACTTTTTTGGACATATAGCTGTCTGTGCTATCTCTCCAGAAGCCAAGACGATTGATTATCTCTGTAGCGCCGACGATGACGGTCTCGTTCGCGGCAAGGGCTCTCAATGTGTTGAAAGGTTCCTTGCTATACTTAATATCTATCTTGGAGACGAGCCACCATTGAGTCGAAGATTCAATCCATGCGATTAGAAACTCCGAACTGGCCGAAGCGAGTTACAAGACGAGGAGGAACCTGACTGCGGCGTATACACAATATGCAACATCATGTGCCTTGCTTTTGGATGGGAGTTATCTTATGGTGCAAGACGCGGACCAGAAATACAGAACAGTCGAATTCGTATCTGCAGTACTCTCCACGTTAGTGGTTTCAGAGGCTTTAACCCCGCTAAAGGTGCTGACAACACGTTTTACTACCCTCTGAATAACCTCTCGCCTCCTAACTCTTTAACTGATGGTTTCGTTGGAATTCTCAATTTTTCTGGACTCATGATCAATGAAACTCTCACTGCAGAAGTCCGCCGTCGCTCACCAATGTACTATGGCTGTCCTGACAAAGAAACGCTATATGCACATTGCGATCGAAACAAACGATTCTACCCAAACTTCGACAAAGTAGGAATTAGCGGACGTCTCGTCTCGTTTGCCAAATTTCTTTCCCGGGTTGAACGTTATGATCTTGCTAGAGAGAGGGATGTGGCGCCGTTCCCAAAACCTTATCTACCTAGTGGTTCCAACGGGAGCAAAGATTGGATTCCACCTAATGCCCACTGGCCGACTCCAAGACTCTGGTAAGCTACAGGTAAGGTAAGTAGGTCCGTCACTTTTCTATTCTTTAATTATTTCAAGGTAAGTTTATCTCAATTCAAAATATAATAATAAAAACTAATCTACTTCACTTCATCCACGTCCCTATTCTTATTTCCGTGATATAAAACCCTTTGTGAACAACGTTTTTGTCCTATGGTCATGACCTAATCATGAATTGATGCTAAGATGTCAAATTAACTCTGAGTTAAGTGATCCAACACAAGGCGCAAAGTATGATGTGTGGAATACGAATTCGGTATATGATACTTACAGACTCGACCGGTTTTATTGATCAAAGAGCCGAGTCCCTTTGTTTGCATTGTCTCTTTGATCTCCCTTTGTTATCAGAAGAAGCGAGGGATCGTTTTGACAAGTAGGACATTAAGTTATCGATAATTCATTTTTATTCTGTCATTTATTTGGCAGCAACAGAAGCCCATTCAAAGGCACAGTAGCACTGAATAGTATCTTTTCTTTGTCTGTTTCAGCATAGCTATTATAGAGCTATTGCAGCAAACCCAGATTTTTGATGGTAGTGGGTAAGTCAATGGTTAGTGTTCCATGGTGCAAAACAAAGAAAAATAATCTCAGGAACAATCAGTTTTTATCACAATCTGATCTCAAACACTCTACCCTGGTAATCAACCTAAGTTTTGAACCAAATCTAGAGCATTCTCGAATCAAAGCATGCTGATGATTCTCATCATAGATTCCACTCTTCTCGCTTGATATATAAAAATTAAGACCCTTCCTGTTTATTCGTTTTCTGCTCTCGCAAGTTAAGAACGCGGAAAGAAAGCTCTGTTATTAGAGCTTAGGATGGGTCTTCTCCTCGACTCAATTGATTGGATGAAAGCAACAGAAAAATATTGGATCATGAATTACTAGAGATTATGGAGAGGATAAGGATAGGTTTATATGTTTCTCTTTTTTGCTACTTCGGCTGTGGGACTTAGGATGATAGTGAGTAGACTAACGGTCAGGCTTTTTGTGTTAGGTAAACGTGGTACAGTTTCTTATCTGCGGATTGCCTCAATGGCGTAATTTTTAGCCGAATTTTTCTTCGCTAAGTTACAGGCGGGTTTGATTAACCGAACAAGTGGCACGCTAATAGCAGACTAGATTTTAGATCAGATATTGACGTTGAAACTACGTTTTTAGAGGCCAGTTGTGATTGTTTGAAATGCTTTTGTTGCTCATCTGTAAACTGAAATTACAGGCCTGATCCCTGTGTATTTCGAATCGAGTCGTATTCTGATGACATTTAGTTTACCCTAAATTTGCGCGAGTGCTTTCATAGCTTTGAAAACGCTTCTAGTCCAGAGGTCGCGGTGAATTTGGACTATCTCATCGAAGTTATTGTAATAGAATATCAATCTCGCCGTCCGAATCTTAATTCTTCTGAGACTCAGTAAATTGCTGGCGTCGAGCACAATCACTCATTTGAAAGATTCTCGATTTGACATTTCATGCAGAAAAATAGGTCTTTAAATTCCCTCGTCTCACTCCCCAGAAAATTTTCAGAATGGAACAAAAAGAACAGATCTCAGGACCAAATCAGTATCCATCCACATCATATCTCCTCGAATCACACAGCCAGGTTATCTATCCGCTTTCGCAAACATCAAACACAGAGCCATACAGATCCTCGGCACGATTATTTCCATGGACTGGTTTTCTTCATCATAGATCTGTGTGTCCCTAGACGTCATTTTTTCACAATTCCCATTTCGTTCTCTCTCGTTTTGGATGACGTCTTGAGTAAGCCCAATCCTGCAGATTTTCTGTGGTTTTGATAGTTTAGAACTCGCTCGCTTGAGAGTGAAGAAAACTTAGGGTGGAAGTTCTGGGAATTGTGTACTGTCTCAGATTGGTGATCCGGCGAATGATAGGGAGAAGAGGAAGAAAGTTTTGGGGGAGGGGGGTTGATATATATATTTTGTATGGTTGCTTAGCGCTGGACTAAGGATCAACTAGTTTCTGTCATAGATTCCAATGGTCAAACGAAGCTAAATCAGCCGAAGCCCAGTTTCTGAAAGTTTGACATGGTGGCCTATATTTTTAAGATCCAAATTTTAACCAATGCACCCAGCCCAGATCTGAATGAATGTGGCCATGCTAAATGAAAACATTGACATGATGGGGGTGATTTGCGAATATAGGAGAAGGTGCTAGCCTGAATAGGCATATAAAGTATGATTAGATGAGTTCCAGAGCCCTTAAGGGTATGGTCTAGTTCAATGGTATTCCAGTCCATTTTCATTCAACTTCAATTTTCTAGTATCACATCTATAATTGTGTCCTTATCAAATAGTGACGGACCATTTTTCGGGAAGAATACCAAATTTGGATGAATAAAATTCATGACTTCACTACTTAATAAAATTCTCTGCACAATGAAAACCGACTTCAAAGCATGCCAATAAATATTCGATCAGTCATAATCAGGAATTGTATCAGCGCAGGACAAGATATCGAGAGTCAATATATGTACATACAAATTCAATCCAACTGACACATGATATCCTACCAAACAACCAACATAAGCCATCAGTCCAAGCCTAGTTCCACCAACCGACTCGAGTTTCGAAGAACTTTGCCAGAAAAAATTCATCTCCAACACTACATGCAATCTATCAAATGTACAGGAGTTCTCGACATGTGAAAGACCTTCTACTGCTCTCTGATAAGCCTCCTAGGATCATATGAGCAGAAAATGAAGAATGGTACAATTGATCAGCATTTAACTATGGTACAGGGATTGACGACGTGCAACAAGTATCCTCTAGGTATTCAAGATCAGCTGTGAAGTCCAATGAGGATTGGACTGCTAGGGCCAATTTTTTTAAAAAAAGCTATTCAGAGTATATCCCAGGCTTAGCCTATGTTCAGACTTGCGATAGAAAGCTGTTATTTGGGCACCGGGGGGGGAGGGTATGGATCAACTGCTAACACCTTCTGAGGCCTGCTATTAGCTGCAAGCTCAGAGTTTACTGGTAATGTGACAGGGGTTGCGATATGTAAGAAATGGAAGTACACGAAGGATATCATATGGTATAATGGAAATAAAGGTTGGAATACGAGAAGGAAAGTTTTTTTGGCGGGGAGACTTTGAGGTACAGAGTATTTCACAACCTATCATTGAGTCCTGAAATGGAATTTAGACTAGCAATCGAGAGAGGAAACTGCTGAACTTTATGGATGAAATCTTACGAGAATATAAACGAGAATCCCTAGATGTATAGGAAATCTCGGAATAATATGATGCTGTATAATATATAGCAACTGGATGTTATACTGAAACTAGTCAAAGAGGGTATCAACTTCTATTTTCCTTCCCAACTAACTTTTCCGCAGTTTTCCCTTTATATCATCCCATAAAAGCACAAACTGGTAAACGATATGTGTCCAAAACCCAGTATCTCCTTCTTACGCCTTTCCATTCACCCTCGCCCTCTCCCCCAAGCTCCTCGACTTCCACGTCAACCCAATCGACATCTAATCCCGCATCACACAGATCCAGCTCCGAGACTTTGGTATAAACATCATAGCAAACTCTTCTATCCGCTCCAAGTCCATTAAAGAAACTAAACTTTCCAGTCTCAGATAATAAGCCGATAACGTATTCGGAGAAGAATTTCTTGAGCTCCATGTAAGATTCCCCAAATGTGTCAAAATATATAACATCGAACTGAAGATTTTCTTCGAGTAGCTTTGGTAGAATTTCTTGCCAGCGACCAGCGTGAATTTTATAGCTTCCTTCTTCGGGTGCAGATGCTTCCCATTCTTTTCCAAATTTATGGCCTGGTTCTTGGAGGTGTGTGAGAACATCGGGATGGGCTTCTATTATATGATGGCTGGCTGGTTTTTTGGATGCGAACATGGTGTCTATTATGCCCATTCCGAAACCAATGTTGAGGATTCGTAATGGAGGCGAGGAGGAGGGGATAAGTAGATCGACTGTACGTTTCATGATGGATGTTTCCCATGCCATCATTACACCATTAGCATCAGCGTCGAGAAGTGCATCTTCTGTGAATTCGAGTTTGCTTTTGAGATAATCTGCGGAATTGACGTCTTTCTTTGGCTCTTCTGCCTCGCTTTCTTTTTCTGGTTCGTCTGTGGTTTCTTCGTCTGCAACTATCTCCATTCCTTCTACTTCCTCCTCCTCTTCGTCCTCGTCCCCATCACTCAACTCCTCATACCCACCCATCAGGTTCATCAAAACCTCCGCCCTCACACCAGCTTCCACAACCAATTCATATAATTCCTTCCTGCCCAATCTCCACGCCAAACATCCAGGTGTCTCGTTATTCGTATCTAAATCATTCCATATAGCTCCCGACAGAAATAATTCTTTAATGGTCGCTTTTGCAGCCTCTATATCTTCTACAGAAGGAGCATCTTCACAGGATGCAATTGCAGCGTGGAGAGGTGTGAAGCCTGTCTCGGGATCTTGAACTGAAGCAGCGCCCGGTACTCGAAGGAGAGGTTTGAGGGCGGCGAGATCGTGGTTAGATGCTGCGAGGAGGATAGTTTGGGTAGTTGTATCAGTTTCGGAGGCAAATGCTGGGTCGTCCATTTTGAAGGTTAATTCTATGTAAACTTTATAAGAATATTCGAAATCTTGAGGATTTCAGCATACTGGGGAAATAATTTTTGGAGGGGTCAATGGATTTGGCGGAGAGAGGGCGGTCGGGACTGACAGATCGGTACCGCATGGGTCCGATTGTTTGTGAACTCAATTCCCCATTAGCAACATCAGCAATTTACAATGTCTCGGCTTATCTCATGTATCTTTCCGAAAAATACAGGAACGACACTTCAAGACTTTAAGACATGAAATCGACCTCTCTAGCCCTCTCTTCGAGCCCATCAAGATGAATAGAGACCATCCAGGAACCGGAAACGTACCGCCGATTACCCCATTTTAGCTCTGCGAACAGACATGGATCTACAGATGATTATCACAATTACAAACTTAA